CGGACCCAGTTTCCATGACGTCTTGCCATTTTTAGGATGTCTTTGAGTTTATGCTCTGCATCCACCTTCAGTTTCTGGCCCTGTACCCCCATATTGGTCCAGTCTGCTAGCCATGCTTTTCATTGAATTTTTCATATCTTGTATTTCTTTTCATAATTTCTAATTCTTTACCAGACTGGTCATTCATATCTTATATTATCTTGTTTAGCTCAATTTCTGGTCTGTTTCTTCAAAAGTTTTGTTAGTAAAATCCTTTATCTGTTGGACAAAATCCTCTTAAGCTTTCAAATATTATGAAATTGCCTGTGTTCCTTCTTTGAGCTCTTCAAACATTTTGACCATTTGTTTTTTGAGTTCGTTGCCTATAACTCCTTGTATTTCAGTATCTGTGAGATCCCATCTTTTGAGGAACTAAGGGTTTTTGGAGGCATTTGTTGCTTTGCTTTGTCATATTTCTAGTCTCTGTGCTGTGGGTTAAAGATCAGTTCGCATAGAAAAACTCCCTGCTGTGTGCCGATCTCTTCAGTTAGAGGGTCTCCATGTGGTGCTGTATGGCGGGCGTCCTTGTGTCTGGCTGTGTTTTGGTGTCTGCCCCTGTTCAGCCCACTCAGCATGACCTCAGAGAATCTTCCTGGTGTCCAGCCCCCTTCTGGGCGCCTGATCCCCGGCACCACACAGAGAGAGGAACCCGGCCTGCAGTCATGTCGCTGGCACAGGCAGCCTGGATGTCAGCGTCAGAAAGAAACACTTCACAGCAGCATCTGTGTCCCTGCTGCAGAGCAGAGACCAACAGTGGTCAGAGTCAGAGCAAACCGGACATTGACAGACTGTAAGAACCAGTGACAGCTGCAACTGTATTAATAGGAAAGAGACCTACAGTGATATGCAGGCAGAGACAGACCAAATACCAACATACAGAAATCCGCATCCACTCATTGCAACAGCCATACAACAAGAGAATTTAGCAGTAATAGCATTGTCAACTAAATATCTAAGAATTAATAAAGCTTAACTGTAACGTAATAAAATGGAGGAGGTGAGGAAAGGGAAAAAGTAAATTTTCAAAAAGGAAGATGACAGAAAAAGTGAGATAAAGAATCCAATTAAAGAATAGAAGGAAGTTAACAGAATTAGGTAAATGTAATAGAAAATAATAAGAGGGCTAGGGCTTTAGCTCAGCGGTGCTGCTGCCTGCCTTGCAAGCACAAGGTCCTGAGTTTGATCCCCGGTACCCCCCAAAAAAATTAGAAGAAGAAAAAATTAGGAAAGAATAAAACAAAGCAAAAAAAAAAAACATAATCACAAACGAAAAGGAAAAATGAGTCCAGAAAAAATTCTTGCTTGTGCTTAGGTAAGTGGTTTCTTTCCAGAGCCTGTGGTATTAGAATCCACCAGGTATGAGGGAGGGATAGTGAGATACAACTAAGGCCTTTTTTACACACCCACTGTGTGTGTATGTGTGCGCGTGGGAACACACGTGTGCACACACCTGCCTGTGCGTGTGCTGAGTGTTCTCCACCCTTCCTGCTGGGCCAGTCAGCCAGAGGTGTGGTTTCTGCCTTAGGGCTGTGTTCACTCCTGTGGCTCTTAGGGTTTGGTCCCTCTGCACCCCAAGTTGCTGCTGTCTCCACCTAGCTTTAAGGCTGTGAGCTTGTGAGGTGCCCCCTCTGTCCAGACACGCTGGGGTGTGGTGACCATCCGAGCCAAGGCGTAATATCCCTGATCACATTGGCAGATGGGGAAAGCAGATAGCCCACTGACTTCCCTGCTAGACATGGGGGTCCTTGACTGCTGGGCTTCATGCCAGCACTTTGAGACCCAGCCCCTCAGAAAACCTCATGCCACTGGCCTGGCTTTCATCATGGAGGTAGGACTACTGTGGCCCACGCACCTGAGCGCACCACTCCTTAAGCTTCTTGGGATTCTGTGACTACCCTACCCCCTTTCTATACAGTCACTGTGGTAGAGTGACCCCAGAAACCCTGAGGTGCAGTTCTGTGCCTTCTGATTCCTGCAGTAGTTCAGTCTTAAAACAATGAACCCCTTCCCAGAACAGCTCCTGATTAGTGCCTCCCATGTATGGCAGTGGCCTCCTCCTCCAACTCTAGCCTGCCCTGCAGAAGGAGTCACTTTCTTTTGCATTTACAGTAACATGGCTCTTGGCAGCTAGCGCTGCCGGCTGTTGTTGCTCCTGGGGCTGCTAGCCCGAAGGGCCCCCTCTGTGGGGCAAGGTCATCTTTCCAGACCGCTTTCTTCCTTTCTCTGCCTTGTCCTCAGTTTCTCCAGTTCCTCTGTGGTTCCTAGTTTTCCTACCAGCTCTTTCTTGATTCCCTGAGCTCTTCCTTTTCTTTTTTCTAAGTTGTTTTCCAGGCATGTAAATTTTAGGGTGAGCAATGAGCCCATCACAGAGTGTGTAAATTTAATTATTGATGACTTTTAAAGTCTGTCCATTTAGTGAAACCTCCCTAACTGATACATCCAACAGAGAAGCCTCATGAGGGACTGAAGGAGTCCATTCCGCATTGGTGTGAGACTGGACCTTCACTTTGAGCTGGGAGCACCCATTTCAGATCAACCCTGTTCCCCTGTGCCGACCCAGGGTGGGAGCTGCTGGGCTTCCAGGCCAGTCTTCTCGGAGTGGCTTTTCCTACTTCACCCAGCTGCTGGGTACGGAAGGTGCCAACAGCTGGGCCGACCTGAGAGAAGAGAGAGGGCTGGCGCTTGCAGTGCAGTCACTGGGCAGCCGACCCGCTTTTCCTGGGTGGGGTCAGAGCTGTCCCTGGGTCCTGCTCAGTTGTCTTTGTGAGCTGCACTTGAGTCTGAGACAACACTGAGGAGAGTGCGTGTGGGTGCCAGCTGAGGCAGCCCGTGGGGGCGGAGCCCCTCCTGTTCCTTCACCCACGCTCGCGCACTCTGCACATCCGTGGTCCCATCTGCCCCCAGCTCGGAGAGCGCTGTTCACAGAGGCCTCCTCGGTCCTCTTGTGGCGCCTCCTCCTCCCAGATGGCCTGCCTCTCGGAGGCTCTGTCAGAGGGATGGTCGGGGCCCAGGGCCACAGTCTCCCTGTGAGGGACGAGTTTCCCAGCACTGAGAAGTCTTTCTGGACAATTCTTGGGTTTCTTAGAATTTTATTTTAGCAGGATTGTTAGCAAAAAATTGTAGGGGTGGGGCACACTTGTACTCCCAGCTCTGAGGAAGGCTGAGGCGGGAGGATCACAAATTTAAGCTCAGCCTAAACAGCTTAGCAAAACCCTGTCTCAAAATAAAAACTCAAAAAGGCTCAGGGTGTAACTCAGTAGAAAGGCCCTGGGTTCAGTCCCTGGTACCACCAAAATAACAAAGAAAAAATTGCTTGTGTCATCTCCCCAAGCAAAAAGGAAGCAAAATCTCCCTATTACTGAATCCATTTTACCCTCTTGAGAGTCACAGATGGGGTCAACTTGTACATTTATCACTTTCTCCCGTTAAAAATGTTTTAATATTACAAACTTCAGAAAGTAATTCTGCTAGTCAGTTTTCATTCCCACAACAAAATGTCTAATGCAGTTAACTTCATGAAAGAAGAGGTTTGTCCATCAGTGTGGAGGCCACAAGTCCAGTCACATGGGCGCTGGGAATGGCCTGGCACACAGTGGCAGAGTGCACGGGAGCAGGCCTCACCAGGATCACGTCTGGTAGGGTAGCAGAGAGGGTCGGGGCCAGGCTTGCTCCTAACACTCAGGGACCCAAGGAGCTCCCTGTTGTCTCCAGCAGCCCTGCCTCTTAAGGTCCCGCCCCGGCAATACTGCCACCTAGAGGCCGAGCCCGTAACAACGCCAGGCTCAGGCTCGGAAGTACTGAGACGCCGCAGCTGCAGCGTGACCTGCATCCTTTTGCCCCTCCGCCCCAAGTATCTCCGCGGTGCAGTCTGGCTTCCTTCTCCCCGCACCTTGGCAGCTCGGAGAAGTCTGAGCACCTAGTGCGACTTTCAGTATCTCTCCCACTCTGAAGCCTGTAGCTTCAGTTCTGTGCCCACAGCCCCGATGTTGTGTGTGGATTTTAATGCAGAATCCTTTTTGATAAGGAACCATTCCCACACTGTATTACTGAAACAGACCAAGGATGAGGAGGACAGAAAGAAAAAGGTGGCCGTCACCACCCGCACTGGGGCTTCCTGCCAGCCCGCGCCTCGTCCTCTCGTCGGGTCCAGTGGAGAACCTGCACAGTAGGACTCTACCCTCTCCTGCCCTGGACCCCAGATAGATACATGGGTGTGTTTGTGTCGTAAAGTGCTTCTCCTTACTTCCCAAGATGGAGGAGGCGCTGCCGTCCTGGGGGTACTGGGAGGCTGCCCAGTGGGCATGCCACTTCCTGCTCAGCCGGAACGGGGGAGGCAGCAGTGCAGAGGGGAGGATGTTTATTTTATCAGTTTTCACCTTCAGACCACTGTTTCAGTCCAGGGTTATCCACTTAAAATTATAAATTAATTTCCATTTAGCAAGTACTTGCTAAGTCCGGCAATTCACTAGTCAACACTTTTTTGCGTACCTATTATATACTCATTTGTTGTTCTCAGCGTTGCACAAGAACAGACAGCTCAGGGCCTGCTCTCATGGAGCTTCCGTGCAGTTAGGTGGAAACAGTAGTTTAACAGACACACAGGAAACAAGCAGCTAGTGGTAAGTACAACACAGAGAAGTAGGGCAGGTGACACGACCCGTGTTAGGCGTTGACTTCAGACTGGTGGGCAGGGACATTTAAGCTGCTCTAGAATCACTTCTCGGCCTTTTGGCTAAGATCAAGTGTAAGCTGCTCTAGAGCGGGTAGCAGAGAAGGGAAGTTGGTGGGCATGGATATCAGGCAGGGGAGCAGCAGTGCAAGGGCCCTGGGGCCTTTTCTTGTGTGTTTCTGCTTCAGCAAGCAAGTCCCAGCATACACAGAAGGGCCATGCCCAGCGCCCCCAAGTTTGAGATCGCTGCATGCCCCATGCATGACCCTGACCGCTGTTTCTCTCCCCTCAGCTCTACGTCTCCTCCGAGAGCCGCTTCAACACTTTGGCCGAGCTGGTTCACCACCATTCCACGGTGGCCGACGGGCTCATCACCACCCTCCACTACCCCGCGCCCAAGCGCAACAAGCCCACGGTCTACGGTGTGTCCCCCAACTACGACAAGTGGGAGATGGAGCGCACGGACATCACCATGAAGCACAAGCTGGGTGGCGGCCAGTACGGGGAGGTGTACGAGGGCGTGTGGAAGAAGTACAGCCTCACCGTGGCGGTGAAGACCCTGAAGGTGGGCCTGGCAGGGTGGGCGGGGCAGTGCTGGGGCAGGGCCCCTCCTGAGTCAGACAGGAGACTCCGCCTGCTGAAGGAATAGTTCACTGAGCCGGGGTCCTGCTCTCCGCTCCACTGCAGCCTGGGACGGCCAACCTCCCACCTCAGGGGAGTAGCATTGTGGTTTCCAGGCAGCTTCTTTCCTTTTGAAGTTCTTTGAAATCAGCTAGGATCTCAAGGAAGTTTTCATTTTGAACCCTCTGCCTTCTTCCTGCTGGGACCGGAGCTTGGCCCCAGGAGAGCGCCCCCTAACGTTGGTTCTAAGTGAACGCTGATGACCTGGCCTTTTTATAGCTGTTGGGAAAGAAAAAACGGAAACCTCCAGGCTGCGAAGAATAGGCCACACCATGTGTGGGGCCCCAAAGTCTGGGGCAGCCCGGCGCTAGTGACGGCTGCTTCCCTAAAAGGACAGTAAAGTGGGACCCACGCCTTTGGGCTGGTGCCAAAGGGCTGCTCTAGAGTGAATTGCACTCTAATTCTAGAACTCGACAGTGGCTTCCTGAGGCCGCAGTCAATGACATTGGCCCTTGGCCAGACACTTTCGGTGGGGGTGGGTGGCATGGTTGCTCACCTTGAGCACTTCGGCTGTTTTCCAGGTAAGACTTTTTTTTTTGGGTGTTGTGGATCGAACTCGGGACCTTGCACTTGTGAGGCATGTGGCAGAACCACTGAGGTAAATCCCCGGCCCTAGGACTTTCTTTTTAATGTAATAAACATTTCCACTTGCCAGGCCCTTACTTCTTAGGTAGTCAGAGAAGCAGACAAACTTACACCAGGAGGGGCTGGCACTGTGGGGCTTGGGGAAGGAGCGAGAGTAGGCACAGGGAGAGCAGGGATGGTGAGTCAGGGCGGCCTGGGCCCCACCTGTCGTGTCAGCCCGTGAGGAGCCGCCACGGGGCTCAGATGGACACGACTCGTTTTGGGGTCACGAGACCGCCGCACGGAGAGCTGTAAATCAGCAGTCCTGCAAAGGGAAATCGGCTGCCGTGGCTGTGAGGTTGTGGGTTTTCTCCCTGTACACCCAAGCTTTGTAACCATCTTCTGCACACATGTGCAGTTTAGTTCAGATCTCCAGAAGAACGGAGTGAAGCAGCTGCACCCCTCATGTGCCCTGTAGAGGTAGGGAGAGGGCTGTGTTGGGCTCCAGGGCCCGAGCTGACTTACAAAGGGCCTGGCCAGCAGTGAGCAGGGAGCCCCTGGCATTGCCCAGGTGTCTGCCCAGATCAGTGAAAACAGAAGGAGGAGGAGGAGGAGGAGTGAGCGCAACATACCTCTGTGTCAGCAGTCAGGCTCATCTGAAAACTTGGAAAAGAGATTGCAGCCAAAGGAGGCTCCCAAGCACATAACCTCACCTGCCAGAGAGGAGAGAGGTCTTGTGGTGCCGACTCAGGGTGGTCTGGAAGCAGGACCAAAGAGCTTGCCTTGCCCGTGCTGTCCTTTCTGCTATATGTACAGTGCGTTTCCTCGGCCTCAACCACTTGCAGTCCCACCATTGGTGAAGAGCGACAGGACCCCACATGGTACCTAACCCGGAAAGCAGAGCGCCCCTCTGCTGCATAAGTCAGCCCCACTGCCAGCCGGGCAGCAGTCTCCCGAGGTAGGCTGCCCACTTGTTGTGCAAGAGTAGCGTCGGTATTTTCGGTATTTATCTTCACTTTGGAGAATGAGAGCTTGGACTCTGAATGACACTGATGTCTGTCACCTACAGGCTCACTATGTGCCTGGCAGTGAGTGCGTTCCGTACAGCACCCTGTTTAATCCTTCACCCGTGAGAAGGTTCACTGAACCGCCGCCCATGTGACCCCCATCCTCAGGGATGGGAGAAGAGAGGGGTGCTCTGAGCCAGGCTCAACACAGGCACTGACTCCAGAGCCCACCCCCCTTTTCCCCCAGTGGGAACCCGGGTTCCTACTCCTCGAACATCATGAAAATACCCTGCAGGACAGTCACCTGTCTCCTCCTCTGCAGAGCTGTCCACTCGGGCTTCATGTCCTCCACTGTGTCCCAGAGCTCCTGTCCTCCCACCTGCCGGTCCTGGCCTCTGATCCCTTTCCCACTCTGCTGGTTCTCAGCCCCTCCTCGCCAGCAGGGGGAGCAAGCCGTGCTTGTAGGCAATGCCCACAGTGAGCCTGCAGGGTCTGCTCCTTCAGATCAGAGGAAAAGAATGGAAAGGCGAGGCCCTGGGGGACCCTGTGGAAGGGAACCCGGACTAAGCTGGGCTGGGACGGTCCTGGAAGAACAGCTGCCAAGGGGAAGAAGCCCCGCATTTTAAATGAGCTGTATTCCTGAAGTTTGTAGTTTTTTTTCTATGAAACAGTTTTGTAAGTAATAGGAAAAGAGTACTGTTGGTCTAGTTGTGGTGTTGACTCATGAGCTAACGAGCAAATTTACTATGAAAACACAGAAAAGAGCATAATTCTTGAGTAGGTAATACATGCCCAGTGCCCTCTGCCCCATGTGCCGTGACTTCCCTGCATCCTCCCTGCATTTGTGGTCTGGATCACACAACAGAGCACCTTCCAAGGAGCTGAGCCTGGTGTTGAGAAAGTGCCCATTTGCTCTCACAACAAACAGTGTTTTGGTTTTGCTTTTCCTTTTTTTCTCCCAGGAAAGTGGTTTTCTTGGGGAACCCCAGAAACTGGCAGGAAAGGAGAGGCGTGATGGCATTGGCAGTCACATGCAGAGGTCTGAGGGCTCTCGAGAGGGCAAGGCTGTGATGCCGAGATGCTGCTGCTGCTGCTCTGCGGGCACTGTGTCCCCCTTGGGCCTGCGAGCGTCCAGGGACTCCTCTGGGAGGTGGTTTCTCTCAAGCTTCAGGGCCCCATCTAGTTTGTCAACACCCCTCTTGTCCTGCTGAGAAAACTGCCCCTTCTCTCCAGCATTTCTGGTCGAGATGCTCCTGCACATGCCGTAACCTCGCTCCCCTAGCAGATGTGGAAACCCAACTATTTGCACACAAATCTTACTCCAGGGCAAGGTTCCTCCTGACCAGGAGGCCTCAGAGAGCTTAGCCATTTCTAAGTCGGGGCTCTTCCAGCCAGTGGTGGTGGCGCATACCTATAATCCCAGCACTTGGGGGGATCGCCCCAAGTTCAAGGCCAGCCTGAACTACATAACAAGACCCTGTCTAAAAACCCACAAAATCAGACAATGCTCTTTCTTTTGCTGTTGAATACTACACTTATGGGTGAGTCCAGAGGCCAGAAGGAAGAAGCTGATTAGAAAATACCTGACAGGCGTCAAGTCTTCAACCTTGTGTCAGTAAAAAGACAAAAACAAACACCCAGTGTTCCCTGGAGCCAGCCTTTCTTTCATGCAGTCAGTGTTGCCGGTCTGCTGCTGGGTAGAGATGAGCCGCCCTGGTCATAGTGGACGTGACACTGGCGAGTGCCGAGCCCAGTCCTGGCGCTGCAGTAACCACTCTTCGTGTGTGAGATAGATGTAGATTTTCCTTCGCTTTGTGGAGAAAAGGTTTAGCCAGGCTTGGTGGTGCACGCCTGTAATCCTAGCACTCTGGGAGGCTGAGACAGGAGGATCACAACTTCAAGGCCAGCAATTTAGTGAGACCCTGTCTCAAAAAAATTAAAAAAGGACTGAGAATGTAGCTCAGTGCAAAGGCCCTAGGTTCACTCTACAGTACTGTAAAAGAGAAAGAGGTCAGAGAGAGAGAGAAGGGAGAGAGAGGGGGAAGAAAGGAGGGGATGTAGGTTTAGAGAGGGTCAGTGAGTTACCACGTCACACGGCCCCAGAGCAGTCAGTCTGACAAGCTGCCCTCTACCCCTCTGCAGTGCTATCCAGGTGTTCGTCCCCACCTGAGCCAGGCCAGTCAGGCCTCAGAAGAGCCCAGCCGACCCACCTCTTCCCCAGTGGGAAGCCTCAGCTCTCCTCAGGGCGCTTCCTCTGCCCTCACTCACCTGAGCCAGTTTCTCCCCACTCTGGGTAGAAGAATTCGCCTCAGAAGGGCGAGGGCGCTGGGGCGGTGGCACACACCTGTCATCCCAGTTGCTGCTGCGGAGGGTGAGGCAGGAGGGCCAAGAGTTCGAGACCAGCCCGAGCAATTTAGCAAGACCTCGTCCTAAGTTTCAGAAAAGGTGTGGGGAGCACTGGGACTGTAGCTCGGTGGTAGGTGCTTGCCTAGAAGGCCACGGCCCTGGGTTCAATCCCCAGTACGGCCAAAAATAATTGTTAAAAGATGATGGAAAAGAATGTTTGTGACTTGGGATTGAGCTCAAGTGGATGGTGGAATATTTTAAAGTGAGAGCAAAGGATATCACAGGATAGCATGGGGACATTTCCAGTCAACACAGTTACCAATCTCGGTTGCTCTTAGTCATTCAAATGATAAAGTGAGCTCTGTCTGACTCCAGCAGGGGGAGACAAATTCACACTGATTTTCTGAAAGAATGAAATAAGGAACAGTGTCTTCTGTATGTGTGTGTAGAGAGCCTGACAGACAGGAAGAGGGATGCTTTGAAAGCCTTATTCCTTCTGCAAATTTCCACAGATCTTTCTGATGTGGATCGTTTAGGAGAGGGTCAGCAGCTATAAAAGCAATGATGCTTCTGAAATGATTTCTCTGTGTGTGGTTTGTTATATGGAGCTTTAAAAGAGGAAACTGCACTTATTTGGAAAGCATCATTCAAGGACAACTTCTGAACACATTGCTGGCCCGGGAGGGTTGGAAAGCCCAGTGCCGTTCGCCCCGGGAGCAGTCCCGGTGCCTCAGTGCTGGCCGGCAGCCATCCTCTGACCCTTGGTGTCAGTGTGTCTCCCCACCAAATCTGAGCTCTGCACCCAGAACAGCACAGACTGCTGAGCCTGTGAGCAGAGAGGGCTAGGAAGAGTTAACAGTCGGTGGGTGGTGGCAGGGGTGAGCTGATCCCACACAGCTTGACGCGGTGACAACCAGCGACGTCGAGTGAGCTCGGATCCCCGAGCTAAGTGATGATGGGCTGACGCACCCTCATTACGTGCTTCACTTGCAGACAAGATTGAGCAGAGCAGGAAAGCTCTGAGCAGAGGTTGGGCTGTCCTCGGGAAGGGCTCCCCTCGTCACAGGGAGGAGTAGGGCAGCCTAGCAAGCCGTACAGGAGGGCACCGGAGAGGCAGGGGCAGGGATTGAGGTTCCACATTTCACAGAAAGTTTCCTAGTGAATACCTCTTAAGGAACCTCATTTTCAAGAAATTCATTCCTTGCTGGGCATGATGGTGCTGCCTGTAATTGCAGCACTTTGGGAGGCTGAAGCAGGAGGATTGAAGGTTTGAGCCCAGCCTGGGCAACTTAGCAAGATCCTGTTCCAAAAATAAAAACTTAAAAAGAGCTAGGGATTGTAGCTCAGTGTCAAAACCCGGGTTTAACCCCTAGTAGGACAGAAAAGCAAAAACAACCCCCCACCACAACATGACTTCCCAGCCAGCCCCACGCTGTCTCTCTTCAGACAGCCTCAGGAACCTCAGTGGTAGCTCACAGCCACCTCTACCTCTGTGGCTGCCTGCTCTGATTCTGCTGGTTAGTTTGGGAGCTTTTGAGTAGGGTCCAGCGCAGGCTCTATGACAGGACCCACCAGCCATGGCCACAGGCCCCGGGGCCCGGACAGGGAGAACGAGAGGAAGTGGAGAAGCAGCGTCCCATGTGCAGTGGGCACCGCCCGCTTCCCTCTGGCCCCCTGGTGGTGTTTAGTGCCATGGGCTTGTGCGGCACGACCTGTACCGATGGCCACGCTGGAGCATCGTGGTGAATGAGCTGCTGGGGAGGCCCGACTGGGGGCCTGTGCTGACCCCCTCGCAGTGGCAGCTGCTTCCTTAGGAGCCCGTGACACCCTGTGCATGAGCACTTAGTGTCCTCTGCTCTGCTGCATTGCAAGGCGCTGTTCTTTGGGGCTGCAGTGTCCCCTTCTGCCATCAGGGTCTCTGTCCTTAGGTCCGTGCACTCCAGATTGTTAAAGTGAGTTTATTTTTTCTTCTGTTAAGTGTGCTAGGACTGGGAACCCAGGCACTCCTTGGGGAAGTGGTACTATCTTTGTAGTGTTGGCCTCTGCATAGCCCTCTCGGACCCCACAAACTCCCCAGGTAGGGAAACAGTGCGTAATAGCCACCAGGAGAGGTCCCCAGAACACGCAGGCCAGTGTGGACCCGCGGCCCTGGGTGACAGTTCAGCACCGAGGGGTGAAGCCCTTGGGCTGCTGGGTGAGCATCACCTGTCTGGAACCTGCCTGGAACCATGTGACAGAAGCAGGGGCCCAGGCTCCAGCTGTGTGTCTATGCACTTCCTGCCAAGCTCATCTCACCCATGTTTCTTTTCTCCTGCAGGAGGACACCATGGAGGTGGAAGAGTTCTTAAAAGAGGCTGCAGTGATGAAGGAGATCAAGCACCCCAATCTGGTGCAGTTGCTCGGTAAGTCAGTGCAGAGCTCGGGCCCGGGCAGGCCCCACTACAGACCAGGCATATGCTCCGCCAGCACCAGCATCCGGGTCCTGTGTGGGCTAGGTGGGGGAAGCGGAGACCTGGGAGCCGCCAAGTGCCACTCTCAGACGGGCCTCTGGAATGAGATGTGGCCAGCAGGTGCAGCCATCTGGGGTGAGGCCTGCTCTTTGCCCTGTGCCCCTGGCAGCCTCTCCCTGTGGGAGTTCAAGTTCACAGGCTTTCGAGGAAGAGAAGGGCATGGCCGAGCTTCCCATAGGAACACACAAGCCACAGGTGCTCAGAATCACGTCGGCAGCTGGGCCCAGGCATGGGGCAGTGGGAGTCGGCCCCGGAAGCCCTCGAAGGCTCGTGCATTTGGCCAGAGCCTCTGCTGAAGCCCTGTGTCCTGCCGGCAGGGGTCTGCACTCGGGAGCCCCCGTTCTACATCATCACCGAGTTCATGACCTATGGGAACCTTCTGGACTACCTGCGGGATTGCAACCGGCAGGAGGTGACTGCCGTGGTGCTGCTCTACATGGCCACGCAGATCTCCTCGGCCATGGAGTACCTGGAGAAGAAGAACTTCATCCACAGGTAGGGCCTGGCTTCGGACAAGAGTACGGGCAGCACTGGGCTGGGGCTCCCGACAGCTGCTCTGGGCTGAAGTGAGCCGGGCCGAGACCCAGGCCCACGGGTGCCATCCACCAGGTGCGGGTCGTGCCCATAGGAACCATTGTGACCAAGTGGGGCATTGAGTGAGTTCATCAGGGCCCCTTCCTGGTCATCAGAGCCCCTCTGAACAGAGCGTCATTGTTCCTCCGAGGCCTCTCTGTCTCTAACGACCCGGGAGCAGTGGTAACAGCCAGCACGTGGATTTCATTCTCAGAGCGTGTGGCTTTTCTCCTCCCTTCTCGTTATTATCATTTCATTGTCCACTTCACTCGCTGTCATCTGGCCCGGGATGTTTCCCCGATTGTCAGAATCGTCTGTGTGTGCAGGCCAAATTACGCATCTTTGTTGCTTGAAGCCTGGAGTGCTGTGACCTTCAAGCGTGCCACAATTACCTTGGTGCTCGCATGTTTTGCGGGTGGAAGTGGCTTCCTAGCAAAGTGCCAGCCTGCATGGGGCAGAGCCTGATGGGCTCTGCCAGAGTGTGTTATGCGAGGCACTCTCCACGCCAGGGCTCTGACCTTTCCTACCCAATTAACTCAAGTACGACAGCTGTACAGGGAACAGTGGAGTGAGGGATGAGAGCAGCGCGTGTAAAATGCCGGCAGCCCCTCGTGAGGCAGATTTTCCGTGCCCCACGAGCACCCAGCCTGGTGCTTCTGTCACTCCGTGCTGTGAGCTCCTGGTGCAGCAAATTGAGAGTTCCCAACCCTGATTCAGGCAGATTTGCAGTACTTCCCTGAAATCATATTAGGCAAACTCATCTGTGTTTAACTCTCTCTCTCATTGCTGGTGATCAGTGTGTCTCCCAGAAGCTGCTTCCTCCACTCTGTGGGGCTTGTGATTTCATGGTTAACATCCCCAAAGCAGAGTCAGTCTGCTGCTGCGCCTGTGACAGAAGTGGGTTGTGCTGGAGAGGTGTTTAGAGTATATTTAGGGAGCATCAGGAGGAAGGGGTGAAGGAGGAATCAACTGGGGTGCGGAGAGCTGAAGACTGTGCTGAGCGTGTGGTCCTCGTGCCTGCCACAGTGTGACCGTGCGCACACTGACGCTTGGCTGAGACTTATATTCTCAAGGCAGGGCCGGAAGCGCTTTCTGTACTAATTTGTTGCCACTCACCCGCAACCCTGAGAGACAGGTGCGTCACTGAGTCCCAGGGTCACTCACTGCTTAGGTCATGGCCCAGGGACCCTCCTCCCGCCCTGTGCTGCCTCCCCTTGGTGGGGGCTCAGGCTGTGCTTGCTTCTCCCTGGCAGGCGTCAGGGCCTCTGGTGGACCAGACTCAGTTGCCCCATGTCTGCATCAGGCCTTCACCCCTCGGCACTGGGAAGCCAGCCGAGAGCACTCACGGTGAACTCTCTCCCCGCTCAGGGATCTCGCTGCCCGAAACTGCCTGGTAGGGGAAAACCACTTGGTAAAGGTGGCAGACTTTGGCCTGAGCAGGCTGATGACGGGGGACACGTACACAGCCCATGCTGGAGCCAAGTTCCCCATCAAGTGGACCGCGCCCGAGAGCCTGGCCTACAACAAGTTCTCCATCAAGTCCGATGTCTGGGGTAAGGCCCACTGCTGCCGGGATGGCCGGGCCAGCCACACACCCTCCCCCAGCCTTCCCCTGCCTCCTGCTTGGCCCTCCATTTCTTTTCATTGTAACTTAATTATCTTTGTTATTTGCTTCTTTCCCTCATTCTAAAATCCTCTCTCCTGTTTTCTTTCTAAAATGAAGTAAAAATGTGCTTTTTCTTTCTGAATTGTCCAGAATAGTTTACTTTCTTATTTTAACATACCATCCTTTTTGTTTTTGAGACAAGGTCTACTATATAGCCCAGGCTGGCCTCAAACTTGGAGTCCTCCTGCCTCAGCCTCCGTGTGCTGGCATTAGCAGCTCGATGTCATCATTCTGAGGTTGCTGTTAGATTTGCTGGCACAGCTGGCTCACCCCGCAGGCATCCGGAGTTGTCCTCGGGTCTGGGCCTGCTGCTTGGTTTGGTTTGGCCATTGAACAGGACACCCTTTCTGAGGTCTCGTGTGACAGTTGTTTGTTTTTATTTTGTAACGAACTTTTTATTATGACAAATTGTAAGCATAAACTAAAGACAGGGCCATATGAGCCCCAAGTACCCATCACCCGGCCTGAATAGCCCTCACCTCCTGGCAATCTTATGCCTGCACCCTGGCCCACTGCCTGGACCCGTATTATTTTGAATGAATCCCAGGTAAAAATTTCACTGTGAGTCGCCTACAGAGGATTTTTATTAGCATAACCACGATGCTACCCCCAGACTTGGAGGTAATTTCTGAATATTATCAAATAAGTAGTATTCAGATTTCCAGTTGAGCCACGAAAATCCTACTTTTCATATAGTTTGAGCTGAGATACGAATATGGGTCACACACTGCATTGCTTGATCCATCCCTTCTCACGTTCCCACTGGGTGAACCACCCATGGCACAAGCGCTTCTAATCACTTTTATTGGTCTTTTTACTAATAAAATTAATAGCAAGTCTATAAATGGACAGAATCTAGTTGAGTAGTTACTGTCCAAGTATAAATACTAATACTGTTTATACCAATTTAAAAATTATTACAATAATCAACAAATTACATTAAAATGTTACTATGTTCGTGAATTTCTTTAAGATATTTTATACTTAAAGGCAGCTGATTTGTGCAGAATGCGCAAGATGCCGTCAGGCGTGCAGCTGTCCTTGTGGCCACAGCGGGACCCGTATTTTCAGGTAGTCGTTTATGTACCACAGGTGGTTCACGCTGGCAGGATGATCTAGTTCAAATCAGGGCCGCCGGCAACCAGAAGTACGTTAATCTCTAGCCCACAAGTTCACTCTCCATCTTCATTTCCCTGTTGATTAATTTGTCATTTGTCCTTAGCATTTCCCACATTCTGGGTTTTGCTCCTTGTACCTCTGGTCTGATCTCGTGCCCCTGGCTCCAGCACTCAGATCCAGGTGGCCAAATCACATTCAGGCTGACTTCTTTCACTGAGGAAAGAAGGAAGAATAGTGTTCTTGGGTCAAAGGGTAGATCATGCTTGATTTCCCCAGGTATGTGTGTGTGTGTGTGTGTGATAGCTACTGATATCTGGTGCTGACCCGCTAGTTTCCCAGGGATTGCCATGTGGTAATTCTCAGTTCTGTCTTGCTCATCTGGTAGTGGGACAGCAAAAATCGACACTTCCTCTCATCTGGTCACCCAGTGTTGTCCATGCAGGAAAACCAGGATAAATGCCTGCTTCTTGCCCTTAGCACTTTCCTAAGTAACACGTTGGTCTCCTCATACCTTTGGTGGAGACCAGTTAGGCTTTTGCTGCCTTTGTGGTGTCATTAAGAATTCTTGGTGGTGGCGCACGCCTGTGATCCCAGCACTCAGGAGGCTGAGGCAGGAGGATCACCATGAATTCAGGGCCAACCTGAACTACACAGCGAGACCCTGTCTCAAAAAAGAAATCTCTTGGATGTCAAGATCTGGATGTATTTCCGTCCATTGCTGTTATTTTCCTTGTTGATGCAGACTGTCTCGGTGCTGGCCAGTGGGAACTCAGCTCCTAGTCCTGTTGATATTGCCTTCGCAGTCCCTACCATGGCTGTTGAGTGACCAGGTAGTCCCGGTTCATTCCCTGCCTAGACCTGGATCTCCGGTTTCTCCCAAGGAGCTTGGCTCCATCAGTGGAAAATGAGACTTCAAGGTCATTATCTGGATTTCAAACTTTGAAAGGTTTCATACATCTTTTATGAAGCGTTGAGAATCCAGAGGGACCTTGGAGATAATCCTGTACACCCCAGCCATAGGTGCCTGGCCCGCTGGGCATAGGCCATGTAGCTGAGTAGAATGCAGTGTCTGACTTCCGCCACGGAGCCCAGCACAATGGGCTCCTACCTGAAAGTCAAGAGGCTGACAGCCTTGTCCTCCTCTCCTTCAGTGCACTTAGGCTGTGGTGTGAGGAAACCAACAGTCTCATTCTGCACGGTTCTGTCGGTAACCAAGAGCCTGGCTAATGTCACTGCCGGGGCAGCTTCTGAGGAGCAGCTGCTGCCGCTGCCGGCCCAGAGGACCAGTTTTCATTGCAGTGTATTAAACCCTACACATCTTGCCCCGCCCCTCTTTCTTCTTCAGCGTTTGGAGTACTGCTTTGGGAAATTGCTACCTATGGCATGTCACCGTACCCCGGAATTGACCTGTCCCAGGTGTATGAGCTGCTGGAGAAAGACTACCGCATGGAGCGCCCGGAAGGCTGCCCGGAGAAGGTCTATGAACTCATGCGAGCATGTGAGCCTCTCCCAGCCTGCCTGCGGCGGGTGGGCAATGTCGGGAATCCCATAGTGTGGGAGCGTGTGGGCAGGAACCAGCGTTCCACTCCCTCCCTGCTCCGATCCTCACAAGCAGCTCTCGGAGCACTTGGATGCGTGCTTTTCAGACCTTTTCAATGTGTCTACGTACCTTTGTGTACAACCAATCTATACACACACGAGTTCTTTTTGGTTTCATTTTTAAAGCAAAAATTGGCTAGGCACAAAACCTGAGTTTCTTACTAATAGATTTCTGAGCCCTTCCACCAAATATTCTCCTATAATAGCCAGAGTCCTGGTGATGCTTATCCACCTGGTTTCACATGCACTTGTGTCTGTGTGCATCTGGGTATTTGTACCACACACTCCCATGCCGCTCACCAAGTGTTTCATACTGTGTTTGTGTCATTGGTCCCTCAGCTTCTTCCCATTTAGCAGAGCAGCAGCGGCCCTCTGTCCCCCACTGCACTCACCTCATATTGTTACATAGCTGCCTGACACCCCATTATGATTCCCTTCCTTCACCCACCCTCTTGGCATGAGCATTTGGTTGCTTTGCACATTTGTTTGGTTTTTTGCCATCACAAACGAGGCAGAAACGAACATCCTCATACCCTGTACATCCTCGTACTCTGCTGGCATTTCTAAAGACTGACCTGCTGCTTCAAAGAACTCTCCATTTTAGACTTTGATAACATTTACCAACTTGTCTTCCAGAAAAGGTCATCCCAGTTTACCCTCCCATCAGAAGAGTCTCAGAGTGCCTCACACCCTCAGCAACACTGGGATTTTTCAACCCTTTCCATCTTTATTTCAGCCTCCTTTTAATTAGCGTTTTGTTTTTTTTTTTATGAGGATGTTAGACTTCAGTAACCACAGAGTAAGGACAAGCTAGCAACAAGCTATTTGCCTTAGGAACTCTCCACGCCTAGTAGAGTAGGATTACAAAAATACATTTATAAATTAAGTCTTTGCTGTCATGTCTCTCGGAGTTTTGTAATCCACGTATCTGTTAGAATAGCCTGTGTTCTCAAAGGCTTAATGTCTGCAGGAGGATGCAGTGGTGAGTGTCATTCTGACCTGTGACAGTGTAAGGTGCTTGCAGGCCAGGATCCCTCTGGTCTCCGGGCCGCTCCCGGGGAGCCACTGCCACAGCCTGTGTGGCCCGGCCTCAAGCAGGTGTCTGACTTGGCCTCGTCTGTCCAGGTTGGCAGTGGAATCCCTCTGACCGGCCGTCCTTTGCTGAAATCCACCAGGCCTTTGAAACCATGTTCCAGGAGTCTAGCATCTCGGACGGTAAGCGCATCCAGGCACCTGCCACGGGTCGAGGGTTGTATGGGGGTAGGAGCCCTCCAATTGGCTTAGACCAGAAGGGGTCAGAGTGTTGGGCTCTGCCCTCGGCGGCCTTGGCGAGATCTGGAAAATACTAAGTGCTGTTTTTTCAGTGTCCATAACCCTTTTCTGTACCCACATTACTGCCCACTGTTATCTTAAGAAGACAGAAGCCATGCCGAGCCAGCCCCGTCACTGATGGCTGCTGATTTTGTGTTTGTCCTTAGAAGTGGAAAAGGAGCTGGGAAAGCAAGGTGTGCGAGGGGCTGCGAGCACCTTGCTGCAGGCCCCCGAGCTGCCCACCAAGACGAGGACCTGCAGGAGAGCAGCCGAGCACAGAGACGCCCCCGATGTGTCTGAGATGCCCCCCACCAAGGCCCAGGGAGAGAGTGGTATGTCATGTCGTCACCCCACAGCACCACCCTCCCCGCAGGCAGCATGGTGGTGGCCTCCTGAGAGCTAGGCTGCCCTGCTCGTCCATCTGTCAGCGCACGTGGCATCTTTCAGGGCGACACTGCCCTGACAAACACTGGAGCACACAGCAGCCGGTGTGAAGGCGCTGACTCAGGGAGATGCCTGTGGGCCAGTATGTGTCCTCCGGTTGCTGGCAAAGCATCCTCCCAGGGCTCCCCAGGCGGGCAAGCGAGGGAGATGGATACCACCAAGACCACTTCCTGCCTGCCAGCTCTGCTGGGAGGTAGCAATTGTCCCCAAACTCTGGCCTGGCTTCTGCACAGCCCAGCTGGACAAAAGCATCAGAGTCTGGGCTGGCGCCTGGGCTGCAGGGCATCCAGCAGAGCTAATGGTGGGCACAATGCTGGTGGAGCACAGCCTGGGCTGGGGGAAGGGGCAGGGCTGAGCCAAGGTCCGGTGGGGGCCTAAGGCTGCTCCCGCACAGCAGCGTCCATAGCACATCGGTGAAGAGAGGTGAGTGATCAGCCTGTGTGCACATGTGCAGTGGACCCTCGAGTTGTGACCAGCCTGACACACGGACAACTTGGGTTTCGACCAGAATTTTAGTTTTAACTTAGGAACAAAGTCTTGAGTTAAGACCCAAATGCCCGCTTCTTGTGCTTCCAGATGGTCTCAGATACAGATCTAACTCTTAAAGAGTCTGGAAGGAACATGACAACATCCTTTCCTGTGTGGGGCTAAGTGGGAAATCCTGGGCTGAGATCTGGCTGGAAGAAAATGTGGCCTAAAATTACGCAGGAAAAGACTTTGGAGGCTGTGTAGAGGGGCCTGAGCCTTCACTGACCAACTTGAGTTACAAGCAGCCCTCGGGAACAGATTGAGTTCGTGAGTCAAAGCCCCACCGTACACTAGAGAGGGTCCGTGTACCCGCACTGTAGGAAGAGTGCAGGTGGTGTGATACGTGTACTCTCTAACACAAGTAAGCCAGAAGCGCACAGTGAAATGGCGTAAGAAATGCACCGTGTTCTCTCCACGCCCCCGGCCCATCTTGCCCGCGGCTTGGGGGGCTCTGGCGTGGGGACTGTCCGGGGCCTGTGCCCCTGTGCCCTGTTGTCACCGTCCTGATTTGGGGTCTGGGCAAGCTTACTGGAGGCCCAGTGACAGGCAGGCGCAGTAGTGCCCGCAGGACGCCTTGGAGGGCGCGGAGAGGTGAGGGCCCCTCCCTGGCGGCCAGGAGTGCCTGTCAGCTGCTCGGCCCTGGTGGGGCTGTGTATAATTCATCAGGGTTTCACTCCCCTCGCCTTCATCCGCTGCATTAAAGCGGGGCAGGTGCTCGGCCCCTCGTGCTGCCCAGTCTTCTGGGGGCACCGTGTGCTGGCACCTCTGGTCTCAGTCCCCGGGGCTGACAGGAAGCCCCTTCTCGCAGCGGCCTCTGCGAGGAACTGTCATTCACTGGCAGGAGTCTGGCAACACCAAAAGGCTTCGCTGGCACGCTTATTCATATTTAAAGAGTGCCCATTTAAATTTTCACAAGGTCGTCCAGGCCCCAGGCGCTCCTGTCTCTTCCCTCCACATTACTCCTCCTAGGAGCTGACACATTGGGTGGTCCTGTGGTTTTTCTGGGCCCCGGACTGACTTCGGAGGGACTCTGTGGCCCAGAGCACCGTACAGGGGTGAGAGGCCAGGGCCATCTGGCCCCATGTCCCCCACCGTCAGGGAGAGGGACGTGCTTTCCCTGCTAACAGCTGTGCTGCCCACCGCGAGACACTGGGAGATTCTGCCGGGAGCTTGGTGGGGACCTGGCTTGCCTCTGCGTCTGGGTGAGAAGGCTGGGGGTGAACGGAAGTCCCCGCCCAGGCCACACGCAGAGTGGGTGGCGCGGCTGGCGTCGTCCCAGTGCCTCCGGGTGCAAAGCGGGCCCTCGGGTCTGCCCGCTCACCTCTCCCCACTCTGTTTCAGAGCCTCTGGACCACGAGCCTGCCGCGTCTCCGCTGCTCCCCCGGAAAGAGCGAGCTGCTCCAGACGGAGGCCTGAATGAGGACGAGCGCCTCCTTCCCAAAGACAAAAAGACCAACCTGTTCAGCGCCCTGATCAAGAAGAAGAAGAAAATGGCGCCAACCCCTCCTAAGCGCAGCAGCTCCTTCCGGGAGATGGACGGCCAGCCCGAGCGCCGGGGGCCGGCCGAGGAGGACGGCCGGGAAGCCAGCAACGGGGCGCCGGCCCTCCCCACCTGCGACACCGCTGAGCCTGCCAAGTCGCCAAAACCCAGCAACGCAGCTGGCGTCCCCAACGGAGCCTTCCGGGAGTTGGGGGGCTCGAGCTTCCGTTCTCCCCACCTGTGGAAAAAGTCGGGCACGCTGACTGGCAGCCGCTTAGCAGCCAGTGAGGAGGAGGGCGGTGGCAGCGCCAGCAAGCGCTTCCTGCGGTCCTGCTCCGCCTCTTGCGTGCCGCACGGGGCCAAGGACACTGAGTGGCGGTCAGTCACGCTGCCTCGGGACCTGCAGTCCACCGGGAGGCAGTTCGACTCATCCACCTTCGGAGGGCACAAGAGTGAGAAGCCAGCCCTGCCTCGGAAGCGCGCGAGCGAGAACAGGCCAGACCAGGCCGCCAGAGGCACCGGGACGCCCCCGCCCAGGCTGGTGAAGAAGGCCGAGGAAACCGCCGACGAGGTCTTCAAGGACGCCACAGAGTCCAGCCCAGGCTCCAGTCCCCCCAGCCTCACCCCCAAGCTCCTGCGCCGGCAGGTGGTGATGGCCCCACCCACGGGCCTCACCCACAAGGAAGAGGCCGGGAGGGGCAGTGCCTCGGGGACCCCTGCAGCTGCTGAGCCAGGGCCCCCAGTCAGCAGGGCAGGCACAGGCACCCCTGGGGGACCCAGCAAGGCCCCCGCTGAGGAACCCAGGGTGAGGAGGCACAGGCATGTGTCTGAGTCCCCGGGCAGGGACAGGGGGAGGCTGTCCAAGCTCAAGCCCGTGCCGCCACCCCTGCCCGCCTCTGCGGGGAAGGCTGGGAAGGCCTCACAGAGCCCCGGCCAGGAGGCCGCAGGGGAGGCCGGTACAAAAGCCAAAGCCTTGGGTCTGGCTGTGGATGCCGTGAGCAGTGACGCTGCCAAGCCCAGCCAGCTTGTGGAGGGCCTCAAAAAGTCGGTGCTGCCTTCCGGGCCCAAGCTGCAGTCGGCCACCAAGGCACCCGGGACCCCCATTAGCCCGGTACCTGCTCCCTCTGTGCTGCCTGCAGCATCCTCGGGCCTGGCAGGGGACCAGCCGTCCTCCACCGCCTTTGTTCCCCTCATATCCACCCGGGTGTCACTCCGGAAAACCCGCCAGCCCCCAGAGCGGATCGCCAGCGGGGCCATCACGAAGGGTGTGGTCCTGGACAGCACCGAGGCACTGTGCCTCGCCATCTCCAGGAACTCGGAGCAGATGGTCAGCCACAGCGCAGTGCTGGAGGCCGGCAAGAACCTCTACACGTTCTGCGTGAGCTACGTGGATTCCATCCAGCAGATGAGAAACAAGTTTGCCTTCCGAGAGGCCATCAACAAGCTGGAGAACAACCTCCGGGAGCTGCAGATCTGCCCAGCGACTGCAGGGGGTGGCCCCGCGGCCACTCAGGACTTCAGCAAGCTGCTGAGCTCCGTGAAGGAGATCAGCGACATCGTGCAGAGGTAGCAGAAGCCAGGTTGCACCAGCTGGAGCTGCCTGCAGCCCGAGAGGGTTCACCATGCCTGTGACGGTGGCTGACCGTGAGCTGGCACCTCAGCCGGGGGCCATGCACCGGGCGGCCACACCCGTGGGCCAGCCCTGCTACCTATGTTCCGCACTCTCTGGCCCCTTGGCCACGTGGTCCTCACGTTGCATCTGGAGTTCCCGCTCTCTGGACTCCTCAGCTGGCCAGGACCCACCAGGCCTGGCCCACTGAGCACCATGGACGGAGCTCTGGGGCCGGCGGACGGAGACCGTTCCTCTCAAGTTCCTGTCTGGAGACCCTCCTCCGGCTGTGCCTTCCGTGTCATACCCCACCCCGCAGAGGGAGCCCCCAAGCGCCTGCCGCTCTGAAGGCCCCTTGGGAGAGCCCCTTCCTGGGAAGGGTGTGCCCACCAGCGCCCCAGGCCCGTCACTCTGTGCTTCCGCTGCCCACCCCAGGCTGGCCCGCTCGCCGTCTCCGCGTGAGGGGAACTCGGATATGAGCCAACCAGCCTCTGAGCCCCACATGTCTGGGCCCAGCCCCTCGATGTGTGCTGCGAGTCCTGGGGAAAGCTTGGGTCTCCCGGGTGGCAGCGGGGCCGCCGAGGGCCAGCTTCCGACCAGGCTCCTCGCCCTCCTGCTCCTCCGAGACGCCACGGGGCCTTGCAGGGCCTCCGTGACCACACAGCCTTCCGGCCGAAGCCCTGCCTCCACCCAGCCGCTGGGCACTGCACACGGCAGGAGCGGACTCCCAGCTGCACTGCGCCCTCCCGGTGTCGCCCGAATGTGAACTGCACCGTGCGCATCGCGTGGCCTGGTGTTTCTGTGGGCCCATGGTGAGAACGGAGAGACCTGGGAAGGATGGCACACTCAGTGCCTTTTCCCGGGCTGCCCGGCCCCAGCAGATGCAGACGGCCAGCAGCCTCCAGGCCGGGTGTACTCACCGGCTCAACTCGGACTCTGGTGCGGTTCTCGCAGCACCTCAGCAACCCGGAGGCCCCACCACACCCGCAGCGGCCTCACAGAAGAAACCAAACACCTCCCAGCCCCGCCGCCGCCCCAGTCCGCCCAGTACTGGCCCCTTCCTGTTAACCTGCCATGCCGCTCTGTTTTGCATTTATACTTTGGTAATTACACTCTTTTATAGACTTGCTCTTTTATAAATGGCGTGTAAATAGTTTTCCACTGTGCTCCCTCTGGAGTGTCCGTGGTCTCCCCATTTTTCCCTTGATCCAGTACATTTTGTTTCTGTATATGACTCTTTGTGTTTTTTGAATCAAGATCTCTCCTCTGTAGTATTTTTTAAATAAATAAGTGTTTACAGAATTACTGGCACATTGCCCTGGTCTGTCTCCTCCCTGCTATTGAGCCCGTGCCTGTGGGGGCAGGGTCTGGGGTTCTTGAGGTGCTGAGGTCTAGTGTTGGGGTCCACAGGCCAGATGAGGGTGGGTGGCCATGAGGACAGAGCCGCCAGGCACCCTCGTCCTCAGGAGCCACGTTGCATGCCGCCCTGCTCTCAGGCCCTTCCTGTATCCTTGGCGCTGCAGCTGCCCGGCTGTCCCTGGCGTCACTGAGCACGGCCTGGACCTCCAGCCCCTGAAGGGAGAGAGGTGACGTCCTGCGGTCCTCACTGAGTCCCTCCGAGGACACCTTGCCCCACTTTCTGTCCCCACCTCAGCCCCCAGAGCACCCCTTGCTCATGCTCCACCTGCCTGGTGTGTTTCTTGTTGTGGACAAGGAAGAGCAGAGGTATTCTGGCCTGCAGGGACCATGGGGCTTCACGGGCCAAGCTGCTGTCCCCCGAGGTGGAAGGTGCAGGCCCCAGGTGACAGCGTGGAAGGGGAAGCGGGGAGCATGCAAATCCTGCTCAGCAGCGCATGTGGCAGAGCACTCAGCCCAGCCTCCCCTGGGAGACTGTGGCAGGGCCTGTGCCCACAGCCCCAGTGAGGGTGGAGATCCCTTGGGGCCTGGCCGTAGAGTCCACTGCGGTGCTCTCAGCCACCCCGGCCAGCGGCTCCAGGTGCTGGCACCCCACTTCTCCTTCCCTGACGCCCAAGCCGCCAAGGTGGAGGGAACTGGAACTCGGGTCTGGGCTCTTCTGCTATTAACAGGGCTTCCCTTGGGCACCGCGCCACAGCTGGGCCAGCCACAGCCGGCAGCTGCTCCCTGTGCTGGGTGACCCCTGGGTCCTCACAGCAGCCTGTCAGGTGGGGGTGCCGTCACCCACGTTCTCTGTACTTGGCATCAAGGTCACTTGTGGGTCCGCTCCCATGCATGAGACCAGTTGCCATGGTGGGGCACCATGTAGCGAGACACCTCTTCTCCCAAATGCAGACCTGTGTCACCTGAGCTCACGGAGCTTAGTTTGGTCTGGCTGATGCAAAACAGAGGTTCTTAACCTATCTGGAGGGGTCACGGAGGCTGGCGAGAGGGCCATGGAAATGGCTCCCGGCTCCAGGAGATGCACATTTGTACCCACTCTGCAGCTCTAGCGGACTTTGCATCCTGCCCCAAGCACCTGCTCTTTGTCTTGGTCCAGAACACACTGATCACGCAGCCCCTGGTGGTACCCACGCCCTGGACAACACCCTCACCCCAGTGCCACATCCCAGCCGGCACAGGCAGCCCAGTGGCAACACGTCCCTGGCATCTGTCCTGGGCGTCCTGAGCACTACAGCACAGTCAGGACAAGGTGCCTTCCCTGCTCACTACGGCAGCTGCCCCAGGAGCCTTTTTTTCTTAAATATCTTAATACATCAAGCACACAGGAAAGCACAGAAATGTTTTCCATCCACGTAAACAGCTGCGTATCTTTAGATGCACCCACCCAGGGGAAGCCTTTCCTGTGTCTTGGATAAGAACAGCAGACAGCTGTAGGTAGCACTCAGCGCTGGGCTTGGGGAGCAGAAGCAGCCAAGCTGGGGCTGGGTAGGCGAGCAGGGCACTTCTGGTCCAGTCTGCTGCATAAGTATGAGGTGTTTACACAAGGTATCGCAGTAACAGATACTACTATAAATCCCTCTTGAAATCCTCCCCTTTCTTTGAACACTCATCCCCTCGTCCTGGCTGCTTTCTGCAGCAGCTCTGGGGTGCTCTTTCCTGAGGGTCTGCCAGGTGTGGTCTGCTGCCAAGTGGTGCGTCCTCCTCCACCTTGTTCACCCGACCTGGCACCCGGTAGCTTCTGGCTCTGCCCCAAAGTCAAAATGACCACGAAAGGGAAATGTTTTGAACTGACTCAGGACATGGAGGGAGCCAACAGAGCACAACTGAAGATGCTCATGAAAGAGCCCTCCGGAGCTGCTGCAGGAAGCGGCAAGGACAATGGGATAAGTGTGTTCAAAGTAAGAGGGAGGATTTTAAGAGTATGTGTCTTTTACTGTAATTTTAAATTATTTTTAACATTCACCATATTTTTTTATCATATCTTGTAAAGTGCTTCCCAAACAGTCTTGCCTTCACCATCTAGACAAGCAGTGAACTTCCCCAGAGGAGAGATGGAAGTGTCAGGGTGGTATGACAGGGCCGAGGACCTTGCCACAGCATGGGTGGACAGCAGGGCAGGGGTTAAAGAGGAAGTTTAGCTGAATAAAGTGGGAGCTGATTTAACAGACCAGTGCCCTCTGCAGTCTTAGTGTTCTGATTTTCAGGGTTATTGAGCTCGAATGTACAAGCAAACTGGAGAGAAAAGCTTTGTTGGTTTTTTTTTCACTGATGAAAGGGCTTCCTTTGTTGGCCTCCCCCTCCCGCTTCCTTTATCCTGGGCTTCTCCTTCGAGGTTAATCTAATCTTGCTAAATTAAAAACCTGCCAGTGCACACCCAGCTGAGCAGGACGATCCAGCTGGCTGTCCTCCAAGTCCTCACAACTAGTGACCATGGGCAGGTGTCTGTCCAAGAGTCGGGGAGTGGACTGGGTCAGGGGCCTGGCTCCGGGCGTCCCTCTGCCTTTGGCCTTCGGTCTGCCATGTCTTATGTGTGAAGGACCCTCGGGAAGTGCTGGTCCAGCTGCTGCACACTCAGAGGGCAGTGCGCACCCGGGTCGCCTAGAGTCACCCTCACCTCCTCCTGTCCACCCGCTGACACTTGTCCCCAGGGCCATCCAGACGCCCCAGGGGACGCCACATCAGCAGGTGGTCACAGCCTGAATCCACTCTTCCTCAGACCCCTGGACTCTGGTGTCCTTGTCCTGTCCCTGTGACGGCACCCCAGACCCGGGCACGTGTCCGGAGTGGAGGGAGCCCTGTGTTTGTGTAGGGAAGGCGGCTCTGTAACTTCGGGTGATGCTCTCGCTCTGCTCCTTCCCCACCTTGCCACCGTCCCCACTCCCCAGCCAGCAGGTTCCTTTGTGGCTCAGATCTATCACCCTTAATGAGTGGCTTTCCGGCTGCTGAGGATTGAGAGCTGCTACCGGGGCGCGTAAGTCACTAATAGAATGGGAAACGCTGAAATGCTGTAAGGTGCCAAGCTGGGCCCAACCCAGTGTGGCTCTAAAAGGCTAATAAAAATCCGCCAATTAATTGTGACAGCTCAGTGGAAAATTATTCAATTGTAAACAGGGGCAGGCCGCAGCTCCAAAGGAGGAGGGGAGATGTTGCCATAGAAACATCAATATAAGTTCTCTTCTCAGCAGTCGCAGCTGGCCTGGGAGTGAGCGGCTACTGACTGCGTGTCTGACGCGGGATGGATTCGGGGCTGAGGCAGCGTCGGAGAGGCCCGCACGCCTGGCCCCCGGCCTGCAGCCACTCCAGGCTATGCACCAGCTCTCCCTGGGGTGGAGACGTGGTTTCCCTAATGCTCTTATTTTGAGAAAACGGAGGATGGAGCAGCCAAGTGCAGGAGGAAAACAGCCTGCGCCGTGTCTCCTCATACCTTTGACCAGCTGCCAATTAAGGTGTGCGGGCCCAGGCAACTCGATTTCCATCTCCCCAAAGCAGAGGCACTTGGAGCTCAGGAAAAGGAAGTTTCTAGGGCCCAGAGGACCTGGAGGGAAGATGCCAACATCTTATTATGATTTTGCAGTTGCTACAACTTTTATTTCAAAAGATACACACAACACATTCATACTGTGAACGTCTGAAATGCAACCTCGCTGTAGCAGAAATGTACTCCCTCCTGGCTCGTCTCCCGGGAGCCCTCCGCTTGGCAGACACCACACTCAGTACCTAGCGGCCGCGCCAGGATGGGCAGCAGCCTGGGGGCAGCCCTGTGCTGCAGCAGTCCTCCTGCCAGAGGGGTCTGTTGGTAATGGGGTGGGAACAAGGCAGGTTGTTTTTCGGCTTGACTCTTTTTTGTTTTTGACTCTCAGAACCGCACTGTGTACCTCTGCACACGATGCTTCATGGATGTGCTTCGGCTGTCACCATGGAAGTCCTGTGGAGACAGTCACAATTCTGATGACACCACCATGCTGGCCGAGTCCCCGCCTTCACCTGGATCCAGCATGGCCAGCTCTGCCAGGCCCGGTGCATGGCCCTGGGGCTGGCTGAGCCATCAGACCACTGGGGACGGGGAGGTTAGACAGCTGGTGGGAACAGCATGGCTTTGTCATCTTCGCCAACACACAGCTTCCTCTTGCTTACCTCCTTTTCGATGCCAGCCAGATTTTTGTTTTGTTTTGTTTTGTTTTTCTGTTGGTTTGGTTTTGGTTTTGCTTCAGCAAAGTTGGAAGTCAAGAGACAGCACACACCTAACAGACCCTATGCTAATGCTTTGTGATAAAATGCGAATATCACTTCCACTTCTCCTCGGGAGGCTGCAGAAGACAGGAGTAAAGACAGATGGGTGGAGTCCACGCAGGCAGCCCCTCCAGGGGCCCCCGGCCATCAACCCCGGCCAAAGCGGAAGCTGAAGCCGCCTTTCCTCCTGCTGTAGCCGGTGAGCTCCTCAGCCAGGTTCCCCAGGGGGCCTGTCGCCTTCTCGCTGCCGTGAGCCGACAGGAAGCTGGTGGCCTCAGTGCCCTCCTGCCTCCCAAGGCGAAGGCCAGAGTGCCCTCTGCCCAAGGCCTGCAGCTCCCTGGCCACAAGGAGCAAGGCCTGTGGCTGTGGGCCACCCGACCATGGGGAGGCACCCCACACAGCCTGGGTGCCGGGCCCCTCGGCTCCGACGCCTCCCGCGGTGTCCACCAGCTCTCTTCTGTCCAGCAGAGGCAAGCAGGCACCGAGTGGCAGGAGGAGGAGGTAGGGCAGGGGGAAAGGGCCCCTCATCTGGCCAGAGGAAAGAGAGAGGGAGTTATAGGCCATGTGTGTGGCCAGCCAGACTGCCGGGGCCTGGGCAGCGTCCAAGGGCAAGCCAAGGCCCGGCCGAGCCCGGCTTCCAAGCAGCTCAGGAGCAGCCTCTGTTTCCCCATCAGGCTCGGGAGCTGATGGTACCAATGAGGCTGCTGCTCGCCCTCTCGCCCTCCCATCCAGCTGCCTCAGTCGCTTAGCCCTACAATGCCAAAGCCATGGGAGAGCAGCATGCATGGGAGTTCCTTTTCCTTTTGTTATAAGTCCTGACTCTGGGCCCTATCACCTCAGAGGCCTGGATGGGAAGAGAGAAAAGCCCCGTCGCTGTTTCCAACTTGATACAAGTGGGTCTAGCACAGCCGGTTAGCGAGGAAACGGGTTGTGTGCCTGGTGGCCCTGGCCTCGCCCAGACCACCACCTAGGCAGGCACCTGGGAGGAGTGGGTAGCAGACGCCCAATCTCCCGCCACACAGTGGGCGTGCCAGGCTCTGAGCGACAGGCTTCCACGCAGGCTCTGTGTCCCCATCACAGAAAACCCTGTCCCTAGCCACCCACATTCCCACTTTCCAGGCAAGACGTTGCCAAGAAGGCTGGGAGATTCTGCCAGGCCACACAGCTCAAAAGTAGACCCTGGACTTGATTGGAACAGCTGCCTGGCTTCTCGGTGTGCCAGGCCAGTGGGCACGTCCCCAACACAGGCCTCCTGTGGGGGGCGTCACCCCTAGCTCATTAGGGCCAGGCAGGCAAGGTGACTGCTTGAGATCCTGTGGCTTAATGAGGGACAGAACTGAGTTCACGGCCAGATCCAACTGCGGTTGATTCAAATGTCCCCGGACTCGTTGCTCTGCAGCACATATGGCAGCCTGGGGGACCTGAAACAGAAATAAGCTCCCAGAATGCCGCTGCCGTGGCCATAGCTGCTCCTGTGCCTTGCACACAGCCTGTTTAGTAATGACCTCGGGGGAGCCGGCCTGGCTGGTCCTCTGCGGAGTCCCACAGGAGCTAGAATAGAGATGCCGGCTCTGGAGAAGAAAGAGGACTCTCCAGAAACTGCCCAGAGCTCTTTCCAGAAACGGCTCCCCTGAAAGCATTTCAAAGAAGGGAAAGAACTCAGCCAGAAAGCTTCAAAAAATAAAAGAAATCCCACTGTCTACCCAAATCCAGCTCTCCTAAGCTTGCTCTTCCCCTGGGCTGCAGCAACGCTGGCCAGGGCCGCCCTCTATCGGGACCGAGTGGCAGTGTCCTGAGGGGGCAGGCCCCGTCCTCCTGGAGTGGATGGACTGGGAAGTATCGGGGACAAATGTACCTGGGGTGGCCACCAGGTCCCTAGGAAGGTCGGTCTTGGTGCAGGACAGGAAGTGGCCGGTCTTCCCTTAGGGGAATCGTGGACCCTTTCCAGAACCTGATGAGAGCTGAGGACACTGACCACAGAGCACGGGGGCCCAAGGTGCAGGAAGTGGCCGGAACTGCACAGGGCGGACAGGGCCACCCTGTGGGTCGCTGTGGTCCCTGTGGTCACTCGGGCTGCTGGGGCCATGGGCAGGATGAGGTACAGGTCCCCCATCTCCAGCCTTCCCTGTGTGTGGCTCTGTGGACCCTCTGCCTGCAGGGCCCAGGCCTGAGCACCTGCCAGGGACTCACCATGTGGCTGGCCAGCTCCAGGGGCTAGTGGGCACCTGGGACGGTGCCTCGCTGGGTGGAGCTCCTCGGTCTTCGTCTGGGAGGCGTGGTTCCTGGCTGCTCCCCTCTTTATGTAGGCTCTGGGTGTCGTCCCCCCCACTGGCTGATTGCAACGCATTCCTAACCCTGGGATCCCTTTGGGGACATCGGTGGTGACGGAGGGGGAAGCGCTGGCTGCACAATGAGGACCCAACACAAACAGGATGTGGTCTGATGCGAGGGCGGACTCTGCCCTTTGGAGGAGAGTGGCGGCATCATTAGCCACAGACTGTGGGCACGAGCACCCGGGTCCTGGGCAGAGGCACGGAGGCCATTAGACCCCAGCGGCCTTGCCTATGTCTGGTTGGCCTCACTCCCCAGAGGATGTCCACACCCTGCACCCCCTTGGCCCTGCTGCCCTGGCAGGACTGCTCCCATGGGCGGGGAGTCTCAGGTGCCTCTGAAGCCAGCAATTGCCGGTCCCCTACATGGGAAGGTGAGGCTATTCCAGCTTGTACCTTGCCTGCCCCAGAGCCCCTGGAGAGGCTGTCAGGCAGGGAGAGGGCCCGTGAGCCCATGAGCCAGCGCATCCCTCAGATGGCCTGCTCTGTCTTTCCTGCCACCAAGCCCAGGGCCTGATGCCCAGGGGCCGTGGGCACTGCACCCTCGAGCCACCTCTGAGAGTGACCATGCCACCTTCAGAGCTGCAGTGATGGGTCCCAAGCCCAGGCCATTAGCTAGTGTGGGCCCGGCAAGGGCAGGCCCAAGTGGCATGGTCATTGACCCGCATGCCTCTCCGCCTGAGCCCACGCTGGGAGCACAGCACGTCATGGGTCAGGGCCAGAGCTGGGACACTGGGAGACTGTTGGAGATGGGAACGTGACACCAGGCACCCGAGGCCTCGCTGGCAACTGTTCCACCCCTGCTTTCCCTGGTTAGGCTCCCTGTCCAGCACATGGAGCTCTGGGAAGAGGGCAAACAAGCCCTACCTGCTGGCTGCAGGTTTGGGGTGTGGGCAGTGTCGGGGTGGGGAAGCCCAGCCCCCTGAGTGGCCCACCTGCTCCTCAGCCCGGCCTCGAGTCCCCACCTATCCCACTCTGCCCCTGCTTAGAGGTGCCTGGAGCCAGGTCAGGTGTTGGATTTGGTGACAAGCGTCCCGACTGTGAGGCCTGGCCCATGCCCAGAACACGTGACCCAGAGAGGCTGCCTTCGGATTCTCTTCGGGCCCTTCTAGCTTCCGGGCTCCACCAGCTCTGGAGCTGCCAGGGGTGACAGCAGCTGGGTTGCCGCACGGAGGTAAATGAGGCACAGGGCATGAGGGCAGGGGCCGAGTGGCACAGGAAGCAGCCGTGGGCAGGGTCCAGTGGGCACCTCACTTCCAAGGGAGCTGCCCTGCAGTGTCCACGCTGCCTCTGACTTCCTGTCCTCGATTCGCAAGTGTGGGAGGGACTGGGAGACACAGCAGGCTGGGCTGCCAGCCCCGACCCATGGGCTGCCCTGCTGAGCCAGGTGAGCCCCCACCAGCCAGCTGCCACCCAGGGCAGCCCTGGGCCTTCTCAGCCTTCGTTTCTCCAACAGCAGCGCCCAAGCCGTGGAGGAGCAGTTGCTGGCACAGCACCCTCTCCATAGCTGTTGGGGGAGCCAGGTGGGGAGGAGGCGAGCTCTTCATCCTAGGCCTCGCCGGGCCCTCCCACTCAGGGAGCCTCTTCGGCTGAACGGAGGACCTCGTCTGCTCCAAGAACTCCACAAGGAGTCTGTGGAATCCCACCAGCTGCCGAGGGAACTGCCACGGGGAGTTTGGTGGTGGCAGGGGGCACAGTCACCTCCTCCTGTCCCTGGACTGGTGCAGAGGCCTCACTCGGGCGTCCCCACCCGTTCCCATTGGCCCTGTGTCCCAGCCAGCAGGCCATGTCCCCATGGGTGAGGACACAGTGGAGAGAGCTGGGTCCATGCTCCGTGAACCTGGACATGGGGTGCGAGGACCCCTCCCCAGCTGCCTCTGCCTCTGCTCTTCCCCCAGGCCCCAAGGCCCCTCCAGCACCAGTGCTGGTAAACACGAATTCTGGTACACGAACCCAGGGGCATGACTCCACCACAAACCTCAAACCAGTTCCGTGACTAAATAGCCATTAGTCTCCGATACCCCAGAGCTCCCAGGAGAGAGCTGCAGGGACAGTTCATCGACTGGGGACACTGAGCAGATGCTCGAGTGGGAAGGCCCGGCTCCCCCCAAACCTCCCCAGGGGAGTCAGCCCTAGACAGGAGCCAGGACCCCCGCCATCCACCATTTGGGGGGTCCAGGGTCATCTCATCTCCAAGAAGTCTTGAGAAGAAAGCCCCAGGCCTGGGAAACGCTGTCGCTGGGTGTCAGACCCCGTGCCGAGGCAAGGGGCCCTGAGCTGGGCTAGGACAGATGGCACGGCTGGATCACCAAGAGACTTTATTGGAAACAGGAACGCACAGGACGTCAAGTGCACACACCCCGGCAGTGACCGTCCCACCCCATGCTCCCCCTTGGGCCTCAGCCCCCTCAGCCCCAGGACCCCACGCCACTGCTGTCACCAGGCACACCGAGGCCTCATGCCTCAGTCCCAGAGGCCAGATGGACCTCCATCCTTCTCTGCAGAAAGATGGAGAAACTGGTCCTGGGGTGCCCCTGCCACTTGGCTCGAAGTCCACTGCCCTATCCCCTGTAGGGAGCCCCCGACAGCTCATGGCTCCTCCAGCCACAGCACAGGGCTCCGTGGCTGGTGGCCGGCCCTGCGCATGTCCCCACGGCCCCCTTCTTCCTCTGCCTGGGAACCTGAGTCCCCTTGGCTTCGAGGATGCGGTTGGCAGTTCATGTGGTGTGGCTTGGCCGGCTCGCTAATCCTCCAAATCTCTGCCCAACACGAGGGAATGGGGCTCAAGCAACTGTGTCTTCAGGTTCCAGCCCCAGCCCAACCATGTGTGGATAAGGGCAGGTGCCGGGAGGTGGGGGCACCAGGATGTCACTGCCGCCCCAAGGCAGGCATCAGAAAACCCGTTGACATGCAGTTGGGGGTTGAGGCGATGCAGTTGGAGACCAGCTCACAGCTCTGTCCTTTGTTCTCGGCCGGTGCAGAAAGGCCACCAGGGGAAACCAAGGTTCCTTTAATCCTCAGGATGCCGAGGGCTCAGGAAACCAGCCAGGTAGCCTTTGGCTGGTCTCAGGGGTGGAACCAGTATTTAGGGCCCGGAAATGAGGCCCCTGCCTGTCACGGAGCAGGCCCGAGCAAGGGTAGAGGAGAAAGGAGAGCCTTCCTCTGCTCGGCTCGCTTTCCCCACGAAGGGAAAAGAAAGGAGGCTTGGGGGGTGACATAGTGGGACATGGGGATGCCACCACCCAGCAGGGAATTGGGACTGGGGTCCTAGTGACCTTTGCGGACACCTCCCCGCTGGTCCCGTATCTTGCAGGTCCTGGTGGTTCAGCATCCCCCGCTTCCTGGGTTCACTGCCGTCTCAGGTGACAGCCAGCTGCACTGCCTTCAGGCCGGGGTCTCCCCAAGGCCCAGGGCAGTGTGCAGGGATTTGAAGGGGGGCCAGGAAGACACTGGGGCGGATTGTCCTGGGCTCTGTGGTCACCACTGGCTTTGTGCTCATTCAGCCAGTGTCTAGCAAGGCCAATCCCCTAGTGGTGCCAGCCCTGCCCTTGGGCTCCTGGGCAGGGACCGGGGTGATGCATGCTGCTAACCTGGACCTCAGGCTGCTATGGCCACCCTCACCTGTCCCTCTGTCCCCTTCCCTGTCCCCTCACTGGGCTGAGCTCTAGCACATCTGCCTGGCACTGGCCTCCCCCCCAGACACGCGCAACTGTGACTCCGTCAGCATCACACAGGCAGGAGTTCATTTGATGGCACATCAGAAGGCGCTCGGCACTTCTGAACAGTGGCTGGCATGCAGGGCTGGCACAGATGCTGGCTCCAACCCAGGGGTGCTGCCCCCAGGGGAGTCAGGGTACACTAGGCCCCTGCAGTGTGACCGGCGCCATGGCGAGCTGGCTGGCTGGGTTTGTACAAGACAGAGGAAGCCGAGGGGGCTTCAGTTGTCGCTGGTATCTGTCTCACCTCCTCCTGTCCCTGGGCAGCCCCTCACCAGAACCCTGGTCACGCTGGGCTGGAAGCACCTGCTTCTGGGCCCCTCTGCCCCAGCCTGGGTGGTGCACAGGTAGCAAGACTGGAGCCTGCAGATGGCCATGCATCGACACTCCCCAAGGTCAATGGGCAGGTGGAGCTTGGAGGATGGCCAGGTCTCGGGGCCAGGCAAGGCACCCGGCCCTTCAGGGAAGGGGAGCCCACTCCCCACTTCCCTGCCTCCGGTCTGTCCTCCTACCCAGGGAGGGTCCCTGGCGCTGCAACCGCCTGGCTTGGCCCCAGGCTGGCGGCCAGGCCTTCTCAAAGGTCCCCCTTGGGTCCCCATAGGTGAGAACTTGCGAAAGTAGCCCTGGGCTTGATCCTGCGGCAAACACAAACATGCCCAGCCAAGTCGCCTGCAGGGGGCGGGCGTCATGAGTGTCCGGGGCGCTGGGAAAAGCCCATGGAAAAATGTCCAGTCCGTGTATGGCCCGCTGTCTGTCTCCCCTCTCCCAAGGTCAGCAAGGCGGGGCTTAAGGGGCAGTGCCCATAGTCGCCTGCAGGGGGCAGCACCCTGCGGATGAGCAGACCCTGGCCCAGGCTGCGCTCCCAGGAGGCCCCGGGAGCCTGAGGTCCTGGAAGTTCATGGGGGAGGGGGAGGGGGAGGGGGAGGGGGAAGTGGCTCCGCCTCAGCCCAGGAAAGCGAAAGGCTCTCACAGTGGGGCCTCTGCGCCGGCCCCAGAGGCGGGAGAAGCAGGGCTGAGGCCGGGTGATTGGGAGGCAGAGCAGCGGGGCCAGGCGGCGCTGGCCAAGACGAGGCACCGTGTCGGGCACGCGGGCTGAGGGTGGGGTGGGCGGGGAGGGCTCGCCGTGCAGTGGGAGCCTCAGCCGCGCACGCGCACGGGCGGGGACTGGCAACGCGTGGGGACAGGGCGGGCGGCGGCCTAGAGGCCCTCTCGGACCGGCCGGATCTTCATCTCGGCAAACTTGAGCGAGTACTGCCAGCCGGTCCAGGAGGACCACTCCACGCCGTCGGCGTAGGACGCGTGCGCCCCGCGCAGGTACTGCCCGTTGAGGTTGGACGTGTGGCAGTTGCGGTACCACCAGGCGCCGCGGTAGAAGGCGGCGCAGTTGTTGTCCGAGTGGTCGCTGTCGCGGTCCTTGGTGGTGAACCTCATGCCGCTGTGCTTCAGGAGGGAGTCGCCTGCGGGTGCGCGGGAGGTCGAGGTGTGGGCCTGCACGGCCGGGCCGTGCTGAGCCGCGGGACGCGCTCTCCCTCCACGCGCGGGGCCTGCTGGTGCTGGCTTTGGGTGGCAGGGTGGGGATTTGAGGCGGGGACCATCCTGACCCGGGGCACAGGGCTCGGCCTGGCGAGACCCCCGCCCTGTCCTCCCTACCTGCGGTGCCCGAGTACTCAGCCACGGTGAGCGGGTACCCGTCCTCCTCGGGGTCCACGGAGAACAAGCCCACGCCGAAGCTCCTGTAGCGGGCGAACGCCGTGCCGTTGTCGAAGTCCTCCAGGTCCACGTGCAGCTCGTAGGCGGCCTGCGTGGTCAGCGCATGGATCCTCTTGAGCCCTGGAGCGGGGAGAGGATGCCGAGAGAAGTGGAGGGGCTGAGGAGGCGACCCCCAGAAAGAACGGAGGGGAAGTGAAAGCTGAGAGCGTGTTTGGCGACCGAAGGGCAACCACCACCAAGTGTGCGCTGCCTGCTCCAGGCTGCCTCCTTCTTCCTCCCTGCAGGCCTGTGTTTGGCAGGAAGCTGAAGACAGCGCCTCTGCGCTGCTGGGCACCTGTCCCTGCCCCTCCCCTGGGCACCTTCAGGGTCGCTGCCTCCTTTGCCACCCAAGCCCCCTGCCAGGGCTCATCACCCTGGGTGCCAGCCACCTGTCCCCGTGTTTCCTGACCCAGAAGCAGCTGATCCTGCACAGAGGCAGTGCCTGCGGCTCCTGCTGTGCCCAGGCCTGGCCCTGCACTCCGGCCCACCCACCTGCTTCCCCTGCCTCCTGGGTCACACACACTCGGGCTGGCCCCCTGCCTCTGTGATTAGCTACTGATTAAGAGGGCGTTTAATTAATCACCCAGGTTAGCAGCAGCAGTGACATTTCATCAGCCTCTCCACGCTGCCTGCCTTGTGCCAGCCCCCCGGGCCCAGTGTGTGGCACCAGGGCAGGAGGGCAGGACAGACCCCACCCAGCTGCAGGGAAGCGGCTTCTTCCTGTCCGCCAGCCCAGGGGCAGCCATGGGCAGACCAAGGACAACGGCCACCAGGACCTCAGCCCCTGGCCCTCGGGGAAGTTGCTCCCCACCTCTGGGCCCTGCACACCTGCAGAGCAACCCCCAGAGCAGATGTGGGGCCAGGAGGCTCCCAGGGAGATGGTCGGGGCTGATGGACCCCAGCACACCGTGGCCCTTCCCACAGCACCTGCAGCCGCTCCCATCCAGGTGTTCACAGTTGCTGTGCTGCTGCCGCTGAGCGCAGCAAATGCTAACACCATCCCTGTCGCCCCAAGGACAAGAGGTTAAGGAGCTGGCGCAGGTCGCATGGCTATCCGGTGGATGTGACCCCAGGCTCTTAGTCATACCTGCCTGGTCCAAATCGCATGCTCGGACAGACAGAACGTGAGGGGCTGAGAGGGAGTGGATCCCCTCTGTGCCGCTGCAGGGTGGCTGCTCCCTGAAGACCCACCAGCAGGGGGTGTCCCGTCACCCAGGCAGGCTAGGGTGCGCCTCCCCACGCCCATCCTACCCTTCCCTCCGGCTCCCTGGGCCTCCCCAGCCCTGCTGGTTGTCCAGGACTTCTGCTGCCAGCCCTGGGGACTGCGCGATGCAGCTCACTGCCCCTCAAAGAGCAAGTCACAGGGGCGAGCGGCAAGGGGGTGCAGAGGGGAAGCCCCATAGCGCCCCAGCCTCACACAGCCCATCGGTGAATTTGCAGGTGGATTCAAGAGCCCAACCTAAAACACTAACAGGAAAAAAGCAAAGAAAAACAGGTGGGGTGACATTGATAAACCTGGGGGTGAAGTCAGGGTCTAAAACCCAGAAGAAAGAGAAAGACTGGTAGAAATTACCACATAAAAATTTAAAACTTCAAGGGCCAGGGATTTAGCTCAGTGGTTTCTTCGCCTGCTGCGCAAGCGCAAGGACCTGAGTTCAAGCCCCGGTACCAAAAAAAATTTAAAACTTGTAGGAAATAATGATGCTGGAAGACACATGACTGGGAGTAAGTATGTATCCTGGGCGTTGGGCAAAGGATCAATAACCTTAATATATAAAGAGCTCCCATAACTCAATAGTAAAAGACAAAAGCCTGCGTGGGAAGGCGGTGGGGCATGGGCCTCGGGAGGCGCCACCCTGGAGTTGACATTCCCGTCAGGCATCTGCAGAGCTAATCAGCCCCTCGCCTAAGTGCTTCCTTGAACCTTCAGCCGCTGCAGATAGATTTCAATTAAGATGTGGCGCCCGCCGAGCAGGAAGACGCTGGGGCTGCTCGGAGCAGGTGGGTGGCCATGCAGGGACCCGGCCCCCACCCAGCCGCCTTCTGCGCCCTTGGAGACGCTGGGGCGGGGGCTCCCCAGCTGGGGTCTCCCCATGCTGCCCCTCCAGGGTGTGGTTCAAAGCTGCTGTCCCCAACGCACGACCCTGCAGGAGCCACGCTCAGCCCACCACGCACTTGTAACAAGTGACCTCACGTCCTGAGCCTCAGTTTCCTTCTCTGTTAAAGGGGAGGGCAGCAGCAGCACCACTCTCTGAGGTGATGAGAAGTTTCCAGGACAGACAGACGTCAGCAGGTGCCCAGGGTGGCTGGTACTCCCCTCCTGCGGGCAGCCCCATGGGGCACCGGGCCAAGGAGGGGAAGGCCCTGCCCTCCCGGACCCCAGGCTAGGGACAGCTGGGTGTTAATGGCAGCAAGACACCCCACGGGCCCCCATGCCCGCCGGGGAGTGGGCACCTCGAACCCTGCCCTGCCTTTGGCGCCCAGGGCCTCTCTGAAGCCCTTACGGACACAACTTGAGACCTCCGGTTCCTGCCTGGTACCAGACCTGGATCTCAGCCCTTTGGGAGGTGACTCCCTGCCACAGGGCTCCCCAGTCCCCACCCTGCCTCCCGCCATGCACTTGGCTTCCCAGGTACCCGGGATGGACGGCCACACGGGGCGACACATTCACCGCAGAGTGCATGTGTGGTGGGGTGACTGCAGGTGTGCAGATGGTGTGGCCAGGAACGACCAGCACGCGCCCCTGGGGCTCCTGGGCCTGTGGGGAGCCCGTGGGCCCCACTGTCCAGCACTAACAGGGGCACCTGGGTTGGGAGAGGCGGCGGCGACCCTGCCCAGAGTCCAGGCACCTTCCTGAGGGGGCGGCCTGAAGATGAGCCCAGGTGGCGGAGATAAGCGTCCGGGACATGGCCTCTGGCCAGGGTGAAAACTGTCCTGGGATTCGTGGGGGTGGCTGCGGAGCTATGAGCATGAGCTAAAAACCTCGGAAGTGTCCACCGCAGACGGTCACTGTGCTGTGAAAGAACTGTATCTCCACACGACAGCAAAATCAAGCCTCGGCCCACAGCCACCACCCGGACACATCCACGCTGGACCCTGAGCTTGGGAGTTGGCGGCTGTAACTGATTAGAATGGAATTAGACAAGATATTCAGAATGCTCAAAACACTGAGCCAATTTAGAGGTGAACACTGAGTACTAACGGCCTCAGCGTCACCCGGGCAGTGTCCCTGCCACAGGAGGACCTGCGGGCGCAACACGGGCCAGAGCCACCTGCCGCTCTCCGGGCTCCGTGCGGAGCCCAAGAGCAGACAGTGCAGGGCGCTCCTTGGTCCTCAGGGCCTGAGGTGCTGCCTGCACCGCAGTGGTCTGAGATCCAGGGCAGTGAGTGACCAGGCACAGGGATGCACTGGCCACAGTGCTGTCCTCGTCCTCAGATGACTGGTCATCTTCCCACGTGGCCTCAGGCATGTGAGGCCAGGGAACCCGGATGCTGTCTGCTCATGGGGGCCAGGACTCTTACCTAGCCAGTGTTCCCCCGTGAGCTTTCCGAAGCCCTCCCGGTACGCGTCCCAGCCCCGGAAGAAGTTCACGGAGCCGTCCTCACGGCGCTGGAACACCTGCAGGACAGGAGGGGGAGAGCTGCGTCCCCAATGCGTCCCAGGATCCCAGGTCCCAGCGGGCCCGCCTCACCCCAGGACTCCCACACCCCACTCCTGACCAGGCTCCCCGATGGCCCCCATGGCTCCCAGCCCCAGCTCCAGAGCGGCATGGTGGCCAGGGTGGGACTGGGTGACTGGCCACGGCTCCTTCCACGTCCAGCAAGACAGGCTCTCCGTGGACTGGAGGACACCCAGCCTCTGCGACCTCTGCTGCTTCGCTGCAGGGGCTGGGCCCTTTCTGGCACTGGGCCTCAGTTTCTCCAGTGATGAAAAAAGGGCCAAGAGTCCTGATATAATTTTCCAGGTCAAAATAAAATAGAACAAAAACCATCATGGAGGGTGGTGTTTGGCTTTTTGTGGTGGTGGTGGTACTGGGCCTTTCCCTGAGCTGCATCTCCAGCCCTTTTTTATTTTTTATTTCGAGATAGGGTCTTGCTAAATTGCTAAACTGCTCGGGCTAGGTTCCAATATGGGATCTTCCTGCCTCAGCCTCCCAGAGTGCTGGGGTTATAGGTGTGCACCACCAGGCCCAGTTTTCAAGTTTTTAAACAACTACCCCAGCTTAGGCTTGGCCTCCAAAGCCCCATCGCAGATAGTCCAGAGAGGGGGACACCTGGGAGCTCCCAGTCCAAGCTGCTTCTCGGGGGAGGACGGGGAGTCCTCTGGGGACTGGGGTGTGACTTAGGTACCAACGTGCGGGGAAGCTGCCTCTGTGCTTCCTGTTAGTAACATTCCTGGCTTGGGAGCCTGGAATCCCCTCGGTTACATTGCTCTGAAATGTGGCCCATGCTGGCTGGCCCGGCAGAGCCAGAGCGCAGGAGTCTGCAGGACCTCGAGGCCCCGCCCCTCCGCCCGCCGGTGCCTCCATCTGTGCAGAGCTCTGGCTTCGGCTCTGAGCTGCCGCTTTCATTACTAAGCAGCCCGACCTCAGTGGCTCAGAACCGCCCTGCCCAGGGTGAGCACCAGCCAGATGCTGGGCGTCCTCAGGGACACAGCGGTCAGGGGCCTCTGGGAGGGGAGATGACACCTCGTCTTCCTTGCTGTGATTTCAAAGTTCTCAGGAGCGAGGCCCAGCCCGGGGCAGGGGCAGGTGGAGGAAATTCGATCAGCCTGATGAGATCTAAGCGAGCGCAGGGAGCCTTGCTGACAGCTGAGATTGGAACCCCAAGCACGCACTGCACCTCAGAAAGGCTTAACCCTAGCAACGGCGTGGCTCCCTAGAGGTGTCGGGGTGCACGGAGGGGCTGGGGCTGCCAGGGCTGGAGCTTTGGGCACAGCTGGTGTTGGAGGCCACTGGCCTGGCCCTGGGGCCTCGGCTGAGGTGGACTGGGGTTCCGGTGTCCTACCGGAGAGATGCTGTGCCTCTCAGAGGCTCAGTGTCCTCGTCTGCGGAATGGAATCGGAGCAGGATCTTCCCCTGGGCTCTGACAACCCGGTGAGCTCAGAGCTGGCTGCACAGTAGGAGGTCAGGAAATGCCAGCTCTGTTGCCCAGGCTGGGATCCAATTTGTGATCCTCCTGCCTCAGCCGCCCACAATACTGGGATTACAGTCATGAGCCACACCCAGCCTGCTAGGAGCCTCTCGTTCCTTTAAATGTTCCACGGAGCTTCTCAGTATGAGGTGCTGGCTGGCGAACCTGAGCCAAGAGGCCCGAGGTCAAGCCCTGCCCTCAGCGGGGTGCCCGGGGGCCCCTATGGGAAGGCTGAGGGGGTGTGCAGCTTTCTGGGGGGCATGCAGGGCTCAAACCTCCAGAGCATCTGCTTCCAGCCCAGAGGCCAAATCCGAACTCTCGCCCACTGCCTTCCCGGGTAGGTGCTGGTCACATCACCCCATTGTCCCCCACTGTCCCCTGAGCTCCACCCACGTGCCAATTAATGGTGGTGACCACGTCCTGGGGCCTCCTGGGCCTCCTGCTTTTCACTAGCACCTGGGAAAGGACACGGAGATATTCTTGCTGAGATCTTGATTTTAGAAACCACCCCAGGGTCTACCACACTCAGGCCCTGAAACCTGAGAAGTACTGGACCAGGACCCCCCAGGGCAGGTCACACCCATGACACGGCCCAGGCAGAAGTGAGTTTCAGACTTCTGACCCCGACCCAGAGAAATACAAGTGTCCACATCCACACACGCACACACATGTGAACTGAACTGAAATCTCCTGGAAATAGTTCCCTGTTCTACGGAGGATGCAGCCTCCTATTTCCTCCTGTGCTCTCTGCGATTCACCCTATCTTATCAAGAACAATCTTGATGGAAACCCATGGAAAGCCACGGTTCTGACACCTGTCAAGGGTCACCCGCAGCCTGAGAAGCGCTGCTCTCCAGGTCCCAGCCAGGGATGTCCACATCACGGGCTCAGACGCCCAGTGACAGAGGTTCCCAGCACCCTGGTTCACCCACAGCCTGCCAAGCTCCGAGTGCCACAGTGGCCCAGGTCCACAGCAGGGCCCCAGGCTCCCGGGTGTGGGGTGCTTTGTGTGGCTGTGAGGCCAGGCGCAAACCACAGCTGTGGCTTCAGATGCCTGGAAGCTGGCTGACTTGGGTGACACTGGCTATTTGGATGTCACCCAGCGAGAAGCCTCTAATCAAGGTCAGCTGGACAGGAAGACACCAAGAGGGAGCGAGGAGAAGGTGGGTGCTACTGCACCGCCCTCCTGCCCCTCGGGGACCTGCTTAGGCAAAAAGGGCTGGGGAAGCAAAGGCGGGCACAGTGACGGGCCCACCCTAGCTACCATTCCCAGGGCCCACCGCCCGGCCTCCGCTTGGCTTCTGGCTGGGAAGCGGTGGATGTAGGCCTCCTGGGCCACAGCCACGAGTGGGCAGGCAGACAGAGCGTGTTTCCCGGTGCTGAGTCCCAGAAGCTAGGCGCTCGGCTCCCAGCGTGCCTCGGAAGTGCTGCCAAGGGGCTCTGCCAAGGGAGCCAGGGCCCTCGGAGTCCTGCAGACGGTGCGGGCTCCGCAGGAAGGACATCTGCACCCAGGGCGTCTGTCTGTCCGGCTCTGTCCACTGGGGCCGAGGGCCAAGCCGGAGACAACCCTGTGCTCTCCACGAGCCCGCCCAGGCCCAGCCAGGCCACCTCCGCAGCCCTGTCCCACCCGCCCAGGAGTACCAGCTCCGAGGTCACCGGGCCCAGGTTCCAGCCAGACTGCAGTGCAGGTTCTGTGACGGTCCTGTCTCGGCTTCTCACCTGCAGAGCTGGGGCCACGGGGGCTCCACCAACATCCGGGTTCACGGGGGCGGCGCTGACTGCCACGCAGCTCACAGCGCCAGGAGGGATGCAGGCCCACGTGGGCAGGCTCCGACCCCACTGCTCCCAGGCTGCTCGGTCCTCCAGGCACCGTGCCTCAGTTTCCCCACTGATAAAATGGGGATTTTGACCACCCAAACCCCAAGGCCTGCACAAGGAACAGAAGCACCAGCACCTAGCGCTCAATAACGGCAACAATCACTGACCCGGGCTCGTGGCTGGCGGAGATCTAGGGTTCCTCGCTGGGGTCTGGGGCCCCTGGAGGAGACAGGATGTTCTCTGAGCGGCAGTGGAAGCAGGGCCAGAGGCCCGGGGACGAGTCACTGCCCAGCAGGCTCGGCCCCGCCTCCGGAGGCTGTAACTCTGGACACGCATGGAAACTTCCTGAGCCTCAGTGTCCCTCCTGCAAGTCCCTGTAGGGCTGTGGCAGAGATGGGGTGATGGACACGCGTCCTGCTGGGCGGCACACAGGTCTAACGGCACCCATCCTCCCCTTCAGAGCCAGCTGCCGGCCCAGAAGGAAGGGGGCCACTCCTTGTTTTCGACTGGAAGTGGTACCCCCGGCGCTGGCGCCCTGCCATATCTCCCGGGCTTGGAGCCACTGCCTGCCGGCTCCTGGCACAGCACTGCTCAAAAATGCCATTTACCAAATGCTGAGCTGCCGTGGGTGCGGGTGCTCCACGTGAACAATCCCATTCACGTTAAAACTTGAGGGGCCCCAGGCGCTCCAGGGGAGGCGAGCTTTCTGCACCCAGACACCCCAGGTTACTAACTCAGTGGCCTCGGGCACTGCTCCGTGCCCCACTTCGGCTATGACATCACAGTTCTGTCTCTCGGACCCGGGTCCCCAGGGCCAGGGAGCCCCTGGGAGCTTTCGACTCTCCCTGAGCCGCCTCCCTCCTCTGAAGTTCCCTGAGCCAGGACTGGATTTCCGACCGCCTGGGGAGCTCTGCAGGGGGACTGGAGATGAAGTAGGACGGTTCCTCTGCAGCGGAACCAATTAGAGGCACATCTGAACCGGGTGACCCCACTCTGGCGAACGCCTGGCGGAACGGGGATGCGAGCCTGGCGTCTCCGGCTGCGGGGGGAGCGGGTGGCGTGAAGCCAAATCAATCCCAGGCCAGGTCCCTGCTGTCCGCGATGAACGGACCCGATGCAATTGGGCCTGCGGGACAGGAGGGGCCCCTTCTCCCCTCCTCCCCCTCCCTGCCTCTGACGCATCCGGCATCCGTGCCTGGAGACCCCAGGCTCGAGTCCCCACCCTGCCTGCCTCCCCAGCCTGGCCCTGGCCCAGCCCCGCACACCACCCAGGTCAGCAACTCAGTGCCTCCTCCTGGCCCCAGCAAGCCCCCCTTTCCCTGCCTGGAACCCTGGCCCAGGGTCTCTACGCTGTCAGGGGCCTCTCCCAGGCCGGAGCTGGGTTGTCCGCCTTGATGCCTCGGGCCCTGGGTGTCCGCATGCTTGGCGCCTGGTGTCTGAGTCAGTGAGGTCCCTGTGGGACAGCTGAGTCCCCCGAGGAGCCCCGAGGGGCCTCTGAGGATGGAATGGGCCTTGGGGCGATGTGGAGCTGCCCAGGCTCTGCCTGGAGAGTGGGCAGGGTCCCTGGGCACAGCCCTGTCCTGGGGGGGGGGGACCTTCGTGCCAGGCTTGGACACCGGGCCTAATGAGGATGGATGCTGTGAGCACAGAGAGGCAGCAGCCAGCGCCTCCCAGACAGCAACTGAGTTTCCGAGAGATTTGGGGGGGCAGGAGGTGATCCTGACGGATGCCCGGAGGCGCCGGGAGGAGCGCTTCTGACACCCCAAATGGATATTCACGTCCCTGGGCTGAGCCAGCACTTCCTGGACAGCCCAGCCTCCTTCCAGAGCCCCCTGGGGTACGGGCAACCGCCCCTCACCTTCCCCACTGACAGCGCCACTGAGGCCCCAGCTAGGCCAAGGCAGTGGCCACCTGGTCCCGACTGGAGAGCGGCTTCAAGGCCGCAGCTGCCACCGGGAGTTCATGAAGCCCGTCCTGGCCCCTGATTTCCAGCCCGGCCAGTCCCCAGGGATTCGGAGCAAAGCCCATCACTCTGACTCCTCACGGTTCGAAAGCGAAAGCTTTTAACCCCAGACACAGACCCAGGCAGCGTCAAAGCTGGAAGGCAGGGCTGACGGGTGGCTTGGTCACTGGGGGAGCCCGCCGGCTATTCGGCCTCCGACTGGCAGCTCTGGCCTCCTGGCTCCTGGGGGTGCTGACCTGCAGGCCCCCACTGCACTTCCAGGTCACTGGCTTCATGGGGTGTTAAACTGGTCCCTGAACGGCGGGCAGCACGCACCGAAAAAGTCAAGGAGGAGCTTCTGGGAGAGGCGAGGACACACCCGAGTCCAAGGTCAGAGGCCTGGAAGCTGCCATGGGCACCCGGACGCTTCGGGACCCTGCTTCTGTGCCTTGGACCCCGCAGGGCCCCTGTCCCGGTGGGGAGCTGGCAGGGACGGGGTCTCAGGGGTTCCCTTTCCCCTGGCGTGGCTCCTGGTCATATGATAATTGATCGGCTTCGAGATCGCATGGGAAATGCTCTGTTAGCATCAGGCAGAGGAGGCCGGGGCGCCAAGGTGGACAACTGTCTATGGCGACCCTTCTTCCTCCTGCCTTTCCAGGGTTGGTGGGAGGCACAGGCAGCCCCCACCCGAGCGTTACAAACTCTGGCTGCCTGCAGGGCGGTGATGACCCTGAACCACCTGCTGGGCAGCAGAAGGGGACAGAAGAGAGGGAGGGCTTCCAAAGGTACTGTGAGGCTGCCAGGAGCCATCCCAGGAGCGGTGCTGTGCCCAGGTCTCCGTGTGCTCGCCAGTCCCTGGGGGAGTGGCCCTGGGTCCTGTCCCCGACAGTACACGCCCCAGTATGGGGAAGAAAGATCCCTTTCCCTGGAGGTTGGCCCAGAGCCTGCCCAGTCTCCCACACGTGAGAGAAATGGGGAGGGGCTTCGCCAGCTGTACCCCCAGTGCCCGATACAGTAGGTGCTCAGCTAAATGTGAAGCTGAGAATTCTTGCTTTCTGTTGTCCACTGGATGGAGTCCCAGCCACACACTGGTGTGGATGGACAAGCAGTTTTCAGGGTGGTACACAGGGATGGTGCTACAGGTTGTTCACTGTTCACTCACAACTCACCATGCCCAGCACCCCAGTTCACATAAAGGAAGGGACATGCATTTTTAATATTATACAACGATCTCTCAATGGCTGGTGGTGCCCAGCTACAGCAAAACCTGCAGCCCGGGCTTCCCAAAGGATTGAAACCCAGAAATTTAGGGTAGGGTCGCAGTGAGCTCAAGCCCCTCTCAGCCACTGCCAGCTCTGGAACGGGGTCAGCCAGCCCCGGCTGGAGGATGGTCCCTGCCTGCCAGCTGCTTTTGTGGGCATTTGAAAAAAAGAATCAAGAGTTGGGCGTGGTGATACACACCCGTAACTCCAGTTGATGTTACAGGGCTGAGGCTGAGGCAGGAGGATTTCTGAGTTCGAAGTCAGCCTGGACTACACAGCGAGACCTTGTCTCGTAAAACCAAAACAAGGCCAGGGATGTAGCTCAGTGGTTCCACCACCTGCCTCAAAAGCGCAAGGTCCCAAGTTCAATCCCTGGTACCAAAAAAAAGAAAAACCAAAACAAACAAACTTTCCCCTACCAAAAAAAGAAAGATTTTTTTTCAGTACTGGGGCCTGAAGTATCCTAGGCAGGGACTTTGCTACTGAGCTCTTTTTATCTTTTTATTTTGAAACAAGGTCTTATTAAATCGCTCAATGGCTTCAAATACAATCCTCCTGCCTCAGCCTCCCGAGCAGCTGGGATTACAGGTGTGCGCCACAACACCCCAGGCCTGGCTTAAAAGAAGAATTTTAAATGTCCCTGAGTAATATTTGAGGAAAACTACGGGACATGCATCCGTCTGTGGTCTACTCCAGTCCCCGTCTCTGCGGTGTGGACAGAGCGAGGCACTGAGACTCACCGTCCAGCCGCCGCCGTCAGTGCGCATGTCACAGTAGACCTGGAAGCCGGCGGGGTAGTGGGTGGGGAAGACGGAGTAAACGCCATCGTCCTGCTGTCCGCTCAGGAGCACGTCCAGGCAGTCTCGGGGCGGGGAGCCTGGCAGCGGTACGAGGGTGGCTCAGGACAGCCATCACCCAGGCCCGCGCCCCGCCCAGCTGTCCCCCACTCTGCCGCTCCTCTGCCCACCCGGCCACACCAGGCAGAGTCCTCGGGGTGGGACGTGGCTCTGCCCCTCCCTGGTGTCACTGGGAGCTTGGCCCCAGGCACTCACCATTGGCACAGCCCCGCGGCCGGGCACCCCTGGATGGCACCCGCTGGAGGTCGGCCTTGAGGCGTGGCCGGCCCAGTCCCCGGTCCCTCTGCAGGGCGTCCAGGATGTCACCAACCGCGTTCACCAGGTGCACCAAGTGGCCCTGGCTCTCGGAGAGAAGCTGCAAGGCACAGGGGTCCCGGTGGGCCACAGGGCACCACTCTTCACCTCGGGGCCCAGACACCCCTGCGTCCCAAGGGGCAGCCGAGCCCCCACGGATCCCATGGGTCTGGGAGCTCCGGGCACTGAGGCCAGCAGGCGGGAGGGGACACCTGTGACCATGGGGCAGAGCACCAGGACAGCGTCCCAGGAGCACCCAGCTCCCCAGCTTCACTTTCAGGCTACAGGACATTCCCGCCGCTGTCTCCTCTGGGCCCCACATGAGGGGCAGCAATGGAGAAACTGAGGCCTGGAAAGAGTGGTCCCTGGCAGTGAACAGGCCATGCCTGGCCAGGGCTCGGGGCACTTCCTAAGGCCTGGCGGGCAGGAATGATGGTGGGGCGGGCAGCCCTGTGCTATCTGGGTGCTTTGTTGGTTTGTCACAGTGCTGGGGGTTGAACCTAGGCCCTTCACACTGAGCCACATCCCCAGCCCCTTTATTTTGAGACGGGGTCTCACTAAATTGCTAAGTTGCCCAGGCTGGGCTTGAACTAGGGATCCTCCTGCTTCAGCCTCCCAAAGTCTGCAGGATGAGGACAAAGTCTTTCTGGGAGTGGGGGCCCCTCCCCTGTGCTTTCCCCAGCACCCCATCAGTTAGGCTAGGGGCTCAGCAAGGCTGTCCTGAAGGGGCTGGATCTGGGCTGCCTGGCCCCCACCCAAGCTCCAGGAGGCTGTGGGTCCACGTGGAGGGGAGGCATGCATCAGCAGGGCGCAAGGCGGTCTTCCACGCCAAATCTGTCACTTGTCTGCTAAGAGCCCATCAGAGGAGGAGAAAGAAAAATACACTGTTCAGACAGTTTGCAGTCTGACCCGCGGCTGGCGCGGGGCTGACCTGTGAGGCTTTTAGTCGCCTGTCAGTTTCCCCTCCACTGAGCAGGAGATTCGGGCAGCAACAGTCAGGGCCTGCTGGGGACCCACGCAGTTCCGGGCAGTAAATGGCACCGTGAGGAACCTGGCCCAGGCCCTTCTGCTTGCTGGTGGGTGGAAGACCTGGGCGTGGGTGGAAGACCTGGGCGTGGAGCTGTGGGCAATCAGAGCTGAAGATGTCCAGACCCACGCGCCCCGAATTCATGGGGAACTCCTCAGGGATGAGCCGCAGCCTTTAGGGGCTGTGGAGTCAGAACTGGTGCTTCTGCTGTGTCTCAGTGGTGTGCCCGAGCCTTCCCAAGGCCCTCGCCACCTGAGCCTCGGTCTACCCCTGCACAGTGTGGAGTAACCAGTGTACCCAGCTCCTGAAGAGTGCTTGAAACAGAGCCCTGAGCTCAAGGTGGGCCTCTGGCTCCTATGCCAAGGACTGTCAATAGCAGTTCCCTGTAGGTTTAAATTTCGGTTCAAATGGGGCAGGGGAGAGCCAGGCGTGGTGGTGCATGCCTGTAATCCCAGCACCCTGGAGGCTGAGGCAGGGAGACTTCGAGTCTGGGTTACATAGCGAGACCCTGACTCAAAAATTAGAGTAGGGGTGCAACTAGTGGGTCCTCCTTATGTGCCTGAGAGAGCTCCCCCCAGGCATGTCGTGGGTAACCCTCACTTTAAAGCTAGCGGCTCAGCCCAGACCGGGAAGGTCACCTGCCCGAGGATGCCAGGTGGTGAGGACAGGGCTGGGCTGGACGCAGCTCTGCAACTCCAACCCTTGGGCCAGAGGGCTCATGCAATCCTGCCGTAAAGAACCTCCCAAGATGCCCACCACGGGGTCCTGGGGTGAGGGGTGAGGTCAGGCATCTGGGCACAGCTCTGAGGCCCCAGCTCTGTACCTGCAGCTGAGGCCTGGGGGCTGTGGAGGGCGGGGAACCCACTGGCTGCTGGTGGTCAGGAAGACATGGGGGGGCCCCTGCAGCTGCCGGAGCCCAAGGGAAATTGGCCCCTCACATGTGCAATGGTGGGTGGGGTGCCGGGCCCCTCCTGCCATGGGACACCTGTGGCCACCCGAGTCCCTGGCTGTGGAGGCCTGGGGAGCTGCGGGGGGCGGGGGCAGCAGGAGGCCACCCGCGTCCCCACCTGCTCCCCATCAGTCACGCTGACAGGGTGACAGAGAAGGAAACTTCTCCAGCTGCAGCCTTGGGAGCGGGAGAGGCCGGGGCTGGAGTCAGGACAGGGGCCTGGCTCCCACCCTGAGGAGCTGAGTCACAGGGCGACGCGGCACAGGGCTGGAGGCTGGGCAGGGTACCCAGGAGTCAGGAGAGCGGCACAGGCCCTGTGTGACACCAGGAGACTGAGCGAGAGGAACCAGGCTTGAACCTGGCTCCAGGGCTGGGTGGCCACGGGGAGGCAGACACTGGGCAGGCCCTGGGTGGGGGCGACAGCAGTCCGCACCTGCCCGGGCCCAGGTGCGGCTCCCTCACCTGGATGAGGCGGCCCTGGTCACTCTGCAGCGCGCTGAGCCCCTGCCCCAGCACGCCGTGGCCCTTGCGCAGCCCGGTGCACTCGGCCTGTAGCTCCGAGGCCCGGGCCAGCAGCCGGGCCAGCTGGTCGGCCATGGTGTCCAGCAGCTCCCTCTCTGGGGCTCCATCCGGCACCGGCTGGCCACGGTGCTCAGCCAGCGCCCGCAGCACGGAGGCCTGGGCTCCCTCCAGGCGGGAGAAGCCGTCGGCAAGGTCGGGGCAGCGCGGGTCGATGACGATGCTGAGGTGTGAGCTGTCGGCCCTCTCCACGGTGACCAGCGCGCTGTTGGGCCCCGCCGGCCCCGTGCTCACAATGGGTGGGGGCGCCGTGCCCGCCATGTGGACGTGGTTCAGGAAGAGCATGGCACTGGTGATGGCCACGGCCAGCAGGACAGCCAGGGACAGCAGCACCGTGCACAGGATGTAGCCGCAGCTCGGCCGCTGCAGGGAGCCCAGGATGCGGGGACAGGATGGACAGACAGACGGACGGACAGACAGACGGACGGACAGACAGACGGGAGAGAGAAGGGCAAGTGTCAGTGCCAGAGCGAGGGAGGGCAGGAGATGCACAGCCCGGGAGTGGGGAGACCCAGAAGAGGCCCAGGGGCAGATGGGGCAGAGACGCAAAGCGTACAAAAGAGAAACTGAGGCACGGGGCGCCAAAGGAGAGCAGCGCGCCTCTGGCCCTACATGGTGCAGCTCCAGGACCGCCCCCCATCCAGGTGGGGCTGACAGATTCCTCCGCTGAGCCAGGCACAATGGTGCGCACCTGAGATCCCAGCAACTTGGGAGGCTGAGGCAGGAGGACGGCAAGTTTGAGGCCAGCCCGGGCAACTCAGTGAGACCTGTCTCAAAATTAAAAGGGCTTGGGGTGGAACTCAGGGGGGAGCCCTTGGCCAGCAAACACAAGGCCCGGGGTTCTATCCCCAGCATCAGAAAAAAAAACCGTCCCTCCCTGCAGCCCCCAGGTCTGGGCTCGGGTGACCTCCCGCCTCGTCTCGCTGCACCTCCATGTCCCACCGTAACTGGGGGCAACAACGACCCCCATGTCTCTGTTCATGGCTACCTGGGCGGAGACCAAGGGCAGGGAAGGGGAAGATGCGCCCGTACGGTACCAGCTCCCCGCGGTGAGCACACTCGCCGCAGACGTGCTAAGAAGGTGACGTGCACGGTGCCAGGACCGTCAGTCACGAGGGGCCCTTCCAGCCCGCAGCACCCGGCCCCCTGCGCCCGTGGCCGCCGTCCGTCCTGCCCCCTCCAGCCCCTCGCTGTCCCTTCCTCTCCTCCCCCGACAGAGCAGGTCCCAGGCGGGACCCCGGGGCGGGAGGGGGTGAGGTAAGAACTGGCCTGGGACCGGGTGTCCCGCGACAGAAGCTGCCTTGTAATTAAAACCCAAATGCGGCGCCCCGACTCCAGAGCAGCAGATGCCCTCGGGGCCCAGGCGCACTGGGCCACATCACTCCCTGCTGCTGCTGTTTCACACGAGGGCCCAGAGAGGGCAAGGGGCTTGCCCAGAGCCACACAGCAATTAGAAACGGAGCTCACCCTGGACCCTGGGGCTCCTGCTTCCCCCGGGAAGGCATCTCCTGCTACCCGGCGCCTCAGCATCACACGGGCCCTCCACATTTCCGACCTTCCGAGTCCAAGGTGTCTCCGGAGATGACTAGTACATTAACGCGCTCGGAGCCATGCCTGCCACCTTGGGCTTCTCCAATAAATGTTAGCAGCTTTTATTGTTCCATGATGCACCCGTGTGCTGCGGCGGGAGGTGGCTTTATCTTCCACCCAGAGCGTCATTTCTCTGTGCCCCACACTGCCATACACTGCACCGTCTGTTTTTCTCTTTTTCTCCCAGTACTGGGGTCAAACCCAGAGCCTTCATGCTGAGCTATGTCCCCAGATCTTCTTTAAACAACTTCTCTTCGCTAAGTCGTCAATTGCCCAGGCTGGGTTTTACTTTGCAATCCTCCTGCCTCAGCCTCCCAGAGTTCCATCTCTTATCTTGTAACATTGCTGCCCCTGCAGGGCCTCCTCTGGCAACAGTGACCGACAGCTGGCTTTCTCACTGGGTGATACACAAACATCCACTGTGTTAACTCTAAGAAAACCCCCAGAGAGAAAATGAAAAAATGGAAACAGAGTTTTTGTAAATAGGGAGGGGTGGAGGGGGCAGAAGGGAGGGCAGGGGAAGGGGGAAAAAATAAGAACAAGGATACATCATGTAAAGGTACAGATTTCCAGTGGTGAATGTCATTATACTGTATACCTGAAACGTACCCATAAAATTAATTTTAAAAAAAGAAGAAGAGGGCCGGGGATTTAGCTCAGTAGTTCCGCCGCCTGCTCCGCAAGTGCAAGGACCCAAATTTGATCCCCAGTATCGAAGAGGAGGAGGAGGAGGAGGAGGAGGAGGAGGAGGAGGAGGAGGAGAAGGAGAAAACCCCCAGAGCAAACAGCTTCCTCCTCTACAAGTGCCAAAGCTCAGGCATGGCTCTCCGTTGGGGGAGGGGGTGCAGGCCACAAGCAGACCCTGCGGAAGGGATGAGGACGGCAGCTCCGCCACTTGCCCCTGCCCCACACGGCCCAGGCCCCAGGGACCCATTCTCGCCGGGACCTGCACCCTGCATGTCTGGACTGCTGCCCCAGCCGGACCCCAATGTCTGCTCCCCTCCGTCGCTGCCCTGTTCCCCTGCAGGGCCCCGCGGGCCGCAACTCCTCCATGAAGCCTTCCTTGGCTCCTCCCTCTCTCACCGGGAACGCGGGCCCTGGCACACCCGCACCCCACAGGCCCAAGGTCTCCCTCCACCCAGCTCCCGCGGCCCTGCAGCCCCGGCACACAGAGCCTTCTGCTTCGCCACCGTGGCTCTTGCCCAGACAGCCGGCGCCTTTGCCTCCGTTCATTCACCCCTGCTTCAGTTGCGCTCCAGTGTCCTCCCGGGGGGCAGCTCAGCTTGGGCCACCCCAGCGGGGCTCAGGACTCAGGGAGCCCGGGGCCGTGGACTTGAGTCTTGACCTCTTTGGGGACCCAGATCCCTCAGGGACCTGATAACTTCAGGGACCAGGAAGAGCACAGGCCAAGGGACATGCGGGGGCTGGGCATCATGCAGCCTGAGGGCCGGCTGAGGCCCAAGCATGTGGACAGACAGACAGACGGACAGAGGGAGGAGGAGCCGTGGGTGAGGCCCATCCCGGGATGGTGCTGGCCAGGAGGGGACAGGAGGGACCTCCCTGCTAAGCCTGAGGTGGGGCCACCTGTGACCCTGTGCCACCCCTGATTGCATGGCACAGAGCGACAATACCTCCCGGCCACCAAAAGCTCCCAGCCACTGCTGATCCACATTACTGTCCCTTGGGCGCTTGCCATCTTCTAACTTCTGAAATCGTTTGGTGCTGCAATTGAGCTCATTTTGCATATGGGAAAACTGAGGCTCAGAGCCCAAAGTCACACTGGGGACAGGCAGCAGAGGCAGCATGAGAAGCCAGGGGAGGTGGCTCTGGAATCCCAGGGACATCAGGCCTGCTGGGGGAGCCACCCCACAATGCTCCAACCCTCAGACAAAGCTGTGTCAGCAAGTAAGTCCATGTCGCACGCCCAGCAGAGCCCACGGATACCTTGCCCCGAGCAGCTCAGAGCTGCGTCCTCGGACTGTGGCACTGAGGTTCCAGCTGTCTCCTGGGTGTCCAGGGCCCCAGCCCCTCAGGGCAGCCTCCTCCCCCAGAGGACACAGAGCAGGAGGGGCTGGGGTTCCCCAGAGGCAGGGGACATCGGAGCCTGGAGGGGAAGCAGGGCACTTGCAGAGGAGAATTAGTCTTCAGAGATCGCCTCAGAGATGAAGAGCTGCGTGCTTTTATAGGCTGTGGCTTACGTGCCTCGCAAAGAAATCGGCAAGATAATAGGGGGCTGCGGCTGCGGACGGCCACTCTCGGGACCGGGGCTTATTGCCAGCCTCTGGCCGTGGCAGAGCGGGATGCACGCCCCCCACCTGCCTCGGCATCCCAGGGATGGGAAGAGGGGAGCCAGGAGCCCGACTCCCAAGACCCAGGTTCGAAGCCACCTCTGCCACGGACGAGCTCCCAGCCTGAGGCAGACGTGGCCTGGTTCCCAGCCTGGTCCCAGGGAGATGGCGGTATGTGTGGAGGGTGGGCGCAGCGCCCACCCAGCCCCAGCCTCTGGGGTCCCTGTCATGTCCCCCACAAGCCCACACTGCTGCTGGCCTGAGGAGAGGCTCCCACAGGGGCTGAACTCTGAGCCCCGGCCTGTCGGTGACCGCTGTGGTTCCTTCGAATTCCAGGGTCCCCACAACTCTGAAGGGGGTGCAGGCTCCTGTGAGATCGGAGTCACTGTCCTGTGTAACCAACAGAGCTCAGACCGAGGGACATCAGGAGCCTCCGGGGTCCCGGCAGGGCCTGGTACAAGGATGGGTGGGGTGGCACTGCCCTCCCCAGGCTCCCAGCTCTCACCAGAAGCTCAGCTCTGCAGGCCAAATACACAGCTGGCACACTCGGGTCCCTCCCCAGGGACCCTCAGTGAAGCAGGGGCTCAGAACCAGCAGGAGGAGGGGTCCCTGGTGCCCCAAGTCCCCGATTTTACCCTACTTCCCCCAATGCAGCCACCCGCTCTAAACCCCAGGATCAGGGAGAACAAAGCCCAAAGCCCTTGCTGCATGGCATCCACTGCAGCTTGTGACCCCGGACTGTGGGTCTGTCTGCAGAGACCCCAGGCACCGGCTGTACCTCTCAGCGGCGAGTGAGCAGGGTCTCAGTAAAGAGCCACGGAGTGAAAGGCATGTGTGGTGAGGATTAAGCTTGGACATCAGGGAGGACTTCCCCACGTGAGTCTCTTTCGGGAGTGGTTTAGAGAGCTTGACTTGGATGAGTAACCTTGCCGCGGGGTGTAAGCCCTGCCCCTCTGGAGGAGCCAGCTTCGGGGTGACTGCCTGCCCATGTTCCAGGACGCGGAGACCGGGGCCCATTTCTAGCTCCTTTCACCCTATCATCTCCGACTTCCGGCAAACACCTGTCCACCGCTTCACCCTGTACCAAGGGAACAACAGTCCTTTCCTGTCCTTCCGGGGGGACACAGGATGCAGAAGCAAAGTCCAAGTCAGAACTGTCCAAGGTCACCCAGCAGGGCGGAGCTGACGGCACACAGGGCTGGGACCCAGGCCGTCCCAGGATCGGGGCAATGCCAACCTCGAGCGACATCGATTCCCGCCAGGCATCGGAACCAAGACGTCAAGACAGGACGGCACCCTTGCTGCCCCTCACCTTCCCCTGAGACATGGGTTCCGGTCCTGCCCCACGCCCCACTTCGGGCCCTGTCTGTCCAGGGTGACAGTCACCCTCACGGCCCACCTCCAGGGCAGTCACCACCACCTCAGAGGCCCAGCCGGCCCGTGAGAGGGGACAGGCTGTGCTGAGAACCGGCCTCCCTCCCAGTGGGTGTGCTTGCAAAAGATGCTTGCGCATTTCCCTAAGCTCATGGCAGCCCTTCGAAGAGGAGGAGGCAGGGATGGCGGCTCGCATGTTCCTGATGGGAAAGCCCAGGCCCAGAGACGGGGAGGAACTTTCACAGGGACACACAGCAAGGGAGGTGAGAAGGGCAGCAGGAGGGAGAGCAGCCCCAGGGGACCAGCCAAGGCCTGGTCTCTGCCTCCAGCCTCAGACAGGCACGGAGCTGGCAGGGGACAGCCCGGTCTACGCTGGGTCACCATGGGGAGGAGGTGGTGTCCGATACAGCAGCGGGGAGCAGCAGAGCTGAGCAGGGCGGCTGCTGTTTGGCCCAGGACACCTTGAGGCCACCTTAGAAGTTGCTGCCCCTTTCTGGCTCGGCTCCGCCCCTCCTCTCTGAGGCCCCTCATGAGGAAGCTTGAAGCAGGGGCAATCTAGCCAACTGGAGCTGCCTTCAGGGGCCTGGAAGGAGTGTATGCCCAAGGGGGCTCCCGCTGGAGCAGGCACTTGGGGCTGCAGGCCAAGGCGGTGAGATAAAGGCATAGAGGGGCCAGGACTTGGAGAGACAGCTGCTGGCATCAGGGGGGCTTCCCGGAGGAGGTGGCCTCACTTGAGTTGATGTTTTCTTTTTTTGTGGTACTGAGAATTGAACCTAGGTCCTCATGCATGCTAGGAGAGCCCTCTATCACTGATCTACACTCCTAGTCCCTTTTAATTTTAATTTTATGTATTTATTTTGAGACAGGGTCTTGCTGTGTAGTTCATGCTGGCCTCGAACTCTTTATGTAGCCCTGGGCTGGCCTCAAGCCTGGCAATCTTCCTGCCTCAGCCTCCTGAATGCTGCGATTACAGGTGTGTACTGCTACACCTGGCTTGAGCTGGGGGTATTTTTGGGTTTTTTTTTTCTTGGTACCAGGGATAGAACTCAGGACTTTGCACTTGCGAGGCAGGCTGCAGAACCACTGAGCTAAATCCCCGGCCCTTGAGCTGGGTTTTGAAGAACACACCAGGTAGCCCCAAAGGGAGAGCGGTACATGCATCTGTGCGTGGGTTTGGGGGAACTTGAAATAGCACCCATCTGGATGTGAGGAGGGGCAGAGTTGATAAAGGACAAGCTGGGTGTGGAGCACGGGCCAGGCCAGGAATGGCCCTGGGGACAAGTCCTGAAGTTCGAGGAGGACGAGGAGGAGGTCAGGTCCCAGCGGGAAGGGCCGGGTACCTGCTGGGGGAAGGCCGTATCTCCGGTCTCAAAAGGGGCACAGACGCCCCTGAGAGGCGGCGAGAGGCTGGGGGCCACGGCTGAAGCCCCACTCCCACGCCGTGTGACTTGGCGCGCTCCGCCCCCTCTCCGACCCGGGAAGGGAAGGGACGCGCCGAACTGAAAGGGCTGCAAACTGTAGGGCGCCCCCCCCCCTCCCGCCAGCCGCTGAGTGCGCTCCCTCCAGAAAGAGCAGGCTGCGATCCCATCCGAGGGAGCCTGCCGCCGCCAAGGCCCGCCCCTGCCGCCCCCCGCCGGAGCTGCAAACTCAACTGTTCCTTCCCCAATGACATCTGTCTGGGAGAAATTTAAAATTTAAAACGAACAGCCCCATTATCTCCTCTCCTTGGCGAGCAGCCTCTTCCGCCACCGCCTGTCCCGGTCCCTTTGTGGTGCGGCCTGGGGCGGCCCCGGAGCTGATCCTCTGCTCCGCTCTTGCCGGACTCCCGCCCGGCACTGCCCAGGGCTCTGCCCCGACCCCTCTGCTGGGCACAGCCACGGGCACCCCGCGGACTACCGCCCCGTGCACCCAGGCAGCGGGACCGGAGGAAGGAGCCACCGGCCCCAGAGCACCCAGCCCGGGGTTCAGGTCCCACCGCGCTGTGTGGCCTGAGGCTGGAGTCGGCCTTCTCGGAGCCGGGCATCCCTTGTCTTAAAGTCTGAGAGCCGAGTGTGTTCTGGTCTACTGTACGCAGGGTCCTGGCCAGAGTGGGAAGATTCGGAGGAGACCCTGTGGGCCAGGGGCCGGGCACGGTCCTGAAGTCCAGGTTGTTGTGCCAGTGCCAGGCAGAGAGCAGAGAATGGGGTTCCGGAGAGAGGCGCCCGTGCAGGCAGGACGCGGGGGCTGGGAAGGGAAGTCCCCGTCGGCGGCCACGCAGCGAACTGAGGGCGGACCGGGGCGCACGCTGGGTCCCCACCCCTCCCGGCACACACAGGGGTCTCCGCAGGGTCTGGGGGCTCCCGCAGGGCGCGGCCCCGTCTGAGCCCACCGTCCCCGCGCCCCGGTGTCCCGGCGCCCGGTACCTGCGGCTTGTCGCGCGGCCGGTCCTCAAGTTGGGAAGCGCCGCCCATGGTCCTCGGGGTCAGAGCATCTCCGGGCGGCGAGGCGGGGAGCGGCGAGGCGGGCGCGGGCGCGGGCTCCGGCTGCACCGGCTCCGGCCTCGCACGCTGGCGGCGCCGGTGTGGCCTGGCCGCGGGCAGCCGTGTACAGGTGCGCGCGTGCGAGCGCCGGGCGTGCGCGGCAGCCGAGCGAGCGAGCGGGAGCGCGAGAACCCGCCGTCCCCGCCGTCCCCGCCCGCGCCCGCGCCCGCGCCTCCCCTCGCTCCGCTCCCGGCTCCCGCGTTTCTGTCCCGGGCTCCCCGCCTTTTACTGCGCCCCTCGCCCCCGCCTCGCGCGCGCACTTGGACGTTTCACCCGCGGAAGGCCAGAGACGGACGCGGGGGCCTTGGGGCCGGGTCCCGGGGCGGGGGTGCTCGCGCGCTCCCGAGGGCCCGGAACCCCTCAAACTTCCTCCCGGCGGAAGTCGCCGAAGTCCCCGCGGGGGGTGGGGGCGCCGCGCTCCTCAAAGCTGGGGCGCAAGAGGCAGGGTGGGGGCGGCGCGAGTGCGGCCCCGCGGGTCCCCGACGGCCCGGGCCAGCCTCAGGCCCCGCCCCCTCCGCACCCCGACTCCCCCCGGGGTCCCCGCCCGCGCGCCCGCCTCCCCCGCGGCCGGGGGGCCTGAGCCGGGCTTCTCCGCCCCCTTCCGCCGCAGCGCTTCTGAAAGCGTTTAATCCGCTGCGCAGCCTTCGAGGTAATTGACAAAGTCCTTAATCTGCGCCTTAACGAGCTGCTATTGTGGCTTGGCCGGGTGGCTCCGCGCGACGCCCGCGCCTCCCCACGCTGCTTTCCTGCTCGCGGGGCGCCTTGGCCGCCGCGCTGTTCCCGGTCTGGGCTCCGCGTCTCCCCGACCGGCTGCCAGTCTGTCGCCCCATCTCAGTCCCTCTCCCAGCCCCTCTGAGCACCTGGCGCGGACAGCGAATGCGGTGGACTTGGAGGCGGGGGCCCTTGTCACCGCCAGAGCGGGGTCACCCTCCCGGGGCCCAGCCACCGTCCACAGCCTCGCTGTAACGTCCAGGGAAGCCCCGCCCCGCTGCTCACCAGGCTGGCTGGGCCGTCGGGAGGCTGGGCTCTCCTGGCCCGGCTCTTTCTGGGGGCCCCTAGCCTATCCTCCCCACTAGGGGGCAGCGCGTGCCCCGGAGGGCCCTGGCCCTAGCAGAGGGCTGTGGGCTGAGGCCAGCGATTGCGCCCGGAGCCTCAGTTTGCCGTTTCCGGAGTGGAGCGCACCCTCTTCAGGAGGGCTCCAGGCGGTGGTCCTGGGAGACCCTCGAGCACCTCCCCGAGGAGGGTTCCGCTTCCTGCCTGGCCTTGAACATACTTCCTGTTCTCCCCAGCCTCAGTTTCTTCACTGAACAGCAAAGTCGACTGCCGTGAGGCTTGCGGTCGACTCAGCACTGCCTGGCACGAAGCTGACTGGAGCAGGCACTCGAGTCCAGGACCTCACAGTGGTGGGAAGGATGTGTCCTCCCGATGAGGCGGCACCCACGGAAGACCACCCCAGGGAGGCCCAGAACCGACGCTGAGGCGTGCGGGTGCTCAGGACTCACGGAGGAGGCCCCAGGTGTGGCCCAGCCGCCAGGGAAGGTGGTGTCCGGAGGAGGGGGGCCGTCTGGACGTGGGAAGAGGGCGTTTTCATGGTGCACTGGCCACCCGGCCCAGCGGATACCGGAGCCCCTGTCCCTCTGCTCGCAGGCCTGCAGCAGGGCGCTGGACAGGCGAGCGGGGGCCACCTAGTGGCTCCTCCTGGCAGTGCTTTCTGCAGGGTCCTGCGCCTGCTCAGCAGTAGGGCCCTGGCTCTCCCTCCTGCAGGGGTGCCAGAGTCCCCACCCCGCGGTGAACACCCCTCTGCTCAGGACCCCAGAGGACCAATGTGAGCCCGCCAACCTCTGCTCTGTGCTGGGCATTCTGGGGACATTGTCCTGGGAGAAGGGATGGCCGCCTCCTACTCAGCAGCCCGCAGGTGTGACGCAGGGGGTCTGGGACTGAAGCAGATCCCCGTAGGAGTGGGGACAGTTCCTCACCCTCTGAGAACCTTTGCCGGGCTGATGGCCGAGGCCGCACGGGACCCACCCCCAGGCATCCCAGCACCCGCCACCCCCTCTGGCCCCCAATCTGCCCGTTCCTGCTTTTCCTTCCCAAGGCCACCTGGCTGTGATGACCATGCCGAGAGGCAATGCCTTTCTGTCTGAGATTGTTAGTTGAAATTCCAGAGAGAAGGGCAGCAGTGTCCTGCTCCTCCTTCCAAGCCAGGACACATCAGTCATGGGCAGCAGCTGCCCTTGCCAGGCGCTGGCACTGTCCTGTGGGGACGCAGCTCAAGGGCCCAGCCTGGGCAGGGAGTGGGTGCAGGGTGGACAGCGAGGCGCCCCCACGCTGGAGGGACGGAAACAGCATCCAGGAGATGAGGAAGAGTCACACGGTGACACATGCAGGAGCCAGCCCTGGACTCATTGCCATCTTGGGCATCAGCCAGGTACCAGTCACCTCAGATCCCCCCAGCCACCCTGCCGGTGGGGGCTGCTGTGACCCCATTTTACAGGTGAGGAAACTGACTCTAAAAGCTGTTGTATCCCTTGAGTGATGGTCCTATTAATAAAAAGATATCATTAATACTCAATGACCTTTAATAACTATTTCCTGTGGACACTGCACATTAACTGCATACCTCATTTCCTGTTATCTTCTCCAAAGACCTATAGGTCTTATTAATACCCCTATTTGTTTCCTTATTTATGCAATACTGGGGGTGGAACCCAGGGCCTTTGCACTGAGCTATATCCTCAGCCCTGTTTCCTTTTCATTTCATTTCGAGACAGGCTCTGGCTAAACTGCTAAGTTGCTCAGGCTGGGTGCAAACTTTCTCCCACCTGCTAGAGCGTGCGCTCACCTGCATGCACCGCTACACCTGACTCAATAGCCTTGTTAAAAGCTGAGGCAACTGCAGTGCAGAGAGATTAAGTACCTGACCAAGGCCACACAATAATCCGTGGGATCAGAACTCGAACTCTGGTCAGAGCCAGGCCTGAGTTGCCCAGACAGTGGCTGAGCTGGCACGCGCGGGCTCGGGGGACCTGGCCGAATGTCAGATGTGCCTGTCCCTCAGGCCCAGGCTGGCAGCCTCAGGGCTGGGATCTCTGGCCCTGGCCCACCAGCCTCTGCCCCACACTGCCGAGGGCTCTGAGCTCTGCCTGCGAAGCTGTTTCAACTTAGCTCCGACAGTCACATTTATCATTAAAAATGAATTTATCTTGGCTCCCCATGGCAGGGAGAGCTCCGCCGTGATTCAGTGGGCTTGTCACCCTCGCGGTTAGGCGCGGCGAGCGAGCAGCTGGACGGTCTCCAGCGCAGCGCCTCACTTTCTGTGGCTGGAGCCAGAAACGTACAGTGGGCTGACATTTAATTTAGAATCCAACGTACCTTGACATAAACCCATAATGCGAAGGCGGGGGTGGCCGGGGGCGTCGAGTGACAGCGCATTTCTTTCCTGCTTTGTGTTTTGGATTTTGCTTTGTCAACACTGAGTGGAGATGACAGGCCAGAGACTGCCATCGCAGGCAGCACTAGCAGGGCGCGTGCCCGGGTGCCCACGTGCGCGGCTTGGCGGCCTTCGGCACCATGCCCGGGCAGTGGTTGTGCCCCGAGATGCTGTGTGTGACACCTCGCAACGAGTCCATCACACGTCACCAGAGAAGCAAGTGCCACGGCCGGGCTGCCAGGGCTGAGGCTGCAACCCAGAGGCAGGACAGGCTGAGACTGCGCCTGCCCACGCTCGTCTTTGTGTCCCCAACTCCTCCCATGGCTCTGTCACAAAATCAGTGCTTGATCAATCCGAAGCAAGTCTCAGTATGTGTGTGGTGCTGGGGCTCAAACCCAGGGCCTTCACGCTGAGCTGCGTCCCCAGCCCTTTTTTGTTATTATTATTTTTTGGTTTTTTCTTTTTTTGGTACCGGGGATGGAACTCGGGTCCTTGCACTTGCGCAGCAGGCGGCGAAACCACTGAGCTGAATCCCCGGCTCTTATTTTATTATTGTTAATAAAGGTCTCGCTAGGTTGCCCAGCCTTGAACTTATGATCCTCCTTCCTCAGCCTCCTGACACGCCTGCTGAATGTTATTTTGAAAGCAGGAAGCAGAGTTCTTAGGAAAAAACTGGGTTTCATTCAGCAGAACAGGATGGATGGTTTGAGTGTGAACAGCAGAGGCTGGAGGCTGACCGGGGAGGAGAGGGTAGGACACAGTGACAGCCAAATGTGGCCTTGGAGGGGTGGGGCCCAGGTGAGGGAGACGGGGCCACCAGGCAGGTGGGGCCTGGAGCAAAGGGGGACGTGGGAGCCACAGCCTGGTCTGCTGGCAACATTTGCCCTTGCCTTGAAAGCCTCCCGGTTGTCTGGCTGCAGAAGATGGGGTTGTTGCAGCCCAGCTCTGGCAGCGGTGGGATCCCAGCGAGGTGCAGATTTCAGACCGAGCAGGAGTCCAGCCAAGCAAGCACCCTTTGATTTGCATTGCAGCGCCCTTGTGACAGCCGCCTTGGGACTCAGCCCCTTCTGTGTGCCAGGCACCTGCGGAGCACCGAGTGTTCTCATTGAAACCCTCCCACTGCCTCAGAGGTCGATTTTTTATCCCCATTTCTCAGATAAAGAAGCAAGGGAAGTCTGTGGGGCCGGTAGCCTTCCAAGGGTACATCACAGCCTGAATTAAAACCACAGTCGGATTCCAGGATCCACACCCGAAACCCACAGCTGCAATTTGGAGGCCTCTCCCCAGAGAGCTAACACTTGGGTTCAGACATTTGTTGTTGTTGAAAGGAACGCAGAAAATGAAATTCCCGCTTTGACATCTGGATGCAACCAGTGGCCACGTCCCAGCCACACCCGGCCCGGCGTTGGGCCGTCTGGGCCTCCCCGCCAGGCGGCCTTTGGATCCTGGGTGCGGAAGTCCCTCAGCGCTGATCTCCTTATGGTCGTTCCGCAGCACCCGCCTCACGTGGCTTGTTTCCATGTGTTTTGTAATTTTCAATTGTGCGTTCCTTCTTCAGCAGAGCTTCGTCT